TAAAAAGTCAATTCTGGGATTCGAACCCACCGTCTAACGATCTGACAACCGCGTGCTTAACCACTCGGCCATCTCTGATATACTGCTTTTTGCTGTTCATACTAATTAAGGAGATAACAAAGTCAGTCAACTTACTGCACAGAATGTTGCTGTGTAAATACTAAATGATTGAAACGCTATCCGCCCAGAGTCGAAGTGCACCATCACCGGCAAAAGAAAGACAGGTGGCAATACGTTTTCCAACCGGGTTCTAACACGCCTTCGGCGTGCACGTATAATTAAAAATCGTTGGGCATACTCAGTGTGCTCCGCGTCAACGCGCATAAACTTGCGAACCTATGCGGTGCGTGAGTTCTAAAGGACTGTCGATTTCATTTCAAAACACGACCTCTTTTATTCTTGCTCGGAGCGGATATAATGGAGATGAAGGGGTTACATACATTGATCGGCATTTGCATGGAGCAATGGAACCCGAAGTTAACGCACAACTTCTGCGATCGTCCAATGGGAGCCTGCAAGTCGTGGCGCGTCGGCCTTTGTGACGAAGTCACTTACGAACGGGATAGGGAGCGCGTACATCCCGCTCTTTGAAAATGCTGCACGGGCGCACGTGATAACAACCGCAACGGTACACCACCTCAACTGAATAAAGGAGAGTTACTCACATCCTTTTTCATTTAATTTTTCATGTTTCACCGTTGCAATGTTTCATCTGAAACCCAATCAGAAAGTGAAAAGAGGTCGGACAGAATTACGTACTCATCATGTAGCCATATAGCCCTTCAGACCGAATACAAAACTTCATTTAAGAGAGATGTGTGCTGAAATTCTATGGTGCACCGTTCACGATGCGCCATACCTCATCCCATTTTCAATGGCCAACTTGCCTCTTGTTGTTCATATTTGCGAGCAAATAATCCAGACCGTGGGCCTCATGTTGATAGAGACAAATCTTTTCAACATATTTTATTTTTATTTCATTTTATTTATTTATTTTGCAGGATTAAAACACAGGAAATTTACACAGTTAGCAAAATTAAAAAATAACATGTAGGCTCAAAAATATAGTTTTAATTAAAAATCTACACCATTAAAAAACAAACAAAAACAAACACACACAATATACAGTAACACGCAAACTTACAAACAGCAGCACAAGCAACAACACCACACCCACAAATACACGAAACACATGTAACACCCCTGCAGGATTGCTAAAAAAGCAAACTTAATTACTATCGAGTTGCTCTCCTGGTGCTACAAACTGACCAAAAACAAAACAATACAAAACAAAAAAGGATAGCAAACAGAAAAACAGAAAACGAACGGACAACGTATTAGATTACCGTGAAAAGAACAAAACCCACAACAAACAAACAAACAAACCAACAAACAACCCACCAATCAGACAAACAACCCATGAAAACAAACAAACACAGGGTAGTAATTAATCCCTGTCTCATTTAAGTGAGCACCTACCCTGACAGCAAAAAGCACACCATGTACTCAAAAACAACGGAACAACAAAAACATCAACAGCAAACAACCACAGCCACATCATCCACAACAACCACAACAAGAACAGCAATGAAAACAGACATGCAAACAATACAAACACTAAAAAATATCAACCAAGCAACAGTTATAGCATCATACAAAATACATACATTACAACATTACACAGTTTACCAGGTCTCCCAGAAGAAACAAACATAATTAATATAAAAAAAGACCACAAATGCACACGATGGTGCCTGAGGGCAGCCTTGGGTAAATCCTCCTCACACAGTTCAAAGCAAATTAAAAATAAACCGAGGTGTAAGATACACGACGAAAAAAACAACTACTTTTACCAAGGACGACGTAGGTATCGATTTTACAAGAATCGATTTCCCACACCGTTGTCACAGATATCACGCATTGAAAAACAAAACAACATTACAGTCAACTTATTTGGTTACGAATATCCCGAACCGGAACGAAAACTAGGATTTCAAAGAGCCACTCAAAGAATCGCTGAGGAAGACAAAAAACCCAAACCGACTCAAAAAGGTAAATTGTTTATTATTCAGATTTCAAAACAATTTGTACCGGGCGAATCGAGTGAAACGAGACGGCCTCACATGGATCTAGTATTTATTACAGAAGAAACACAATCTGTAATCAATCTGTTCAAAACCAGTTGTTAAAAGCCATTATTGTTGGATCAAGACAAATTAAAACTTTTGGGAGCGTAAATCAACAAACGCAGTGGTAAAAACCTTTTTGCGATCGTTGCAATTCACTCTATTATAATCAAACCGATTTAGACAAACATTTTCAAGAATGGAAAGGCATAGGAAGTCCTCCCTGTTTTGTTGAAATGCCAAAAACTAATTTACATAATGTAATGACCCCACGGTAGTTTTTTCAAAAATTTAAACACAAACAAAAAAAAACACTGTTTGTGATTCATGCCGATTTTGAATCGATCTGAGTAAAAACGTGTGACAAGTCTCGACCACAAAAACATGTCGCTTGCGGTTTTTATTACGCGGTGACGCGTTGGGATGGTGAAAAAACGATGAAAATCTTCACCGAGAGCCAGACGTACCGAAAGTATTTATTCAACGTCTCATGGAAGAACATGAAAAAATCAATGATGTCTTTGCAAACCCCAAACCCCTCAAACTCACCCCGAGCAACCACAACATAATAATGCCAGAACGTGTTGGATTTGCGAAAAACCCATTAGTTATAATAAATACGAATGTTGGTGTAACGAGCCAAGCATATCGGGCACACCAGGTGACGATCGTTGTTTAGTATGCAACAAGCGTTTTTCAAAAAATCCTAAAGTAAGAGATTACTGTTACGTAACGGGTGTTTTTAAAGGCGCAGTCCACTCCAATTGCAATTTGCAACTTAAAGTAGTACCCGATAATTATAATCCCAATAAACCTGACAGTTATCTATTATATCTTTCGATGAGTTTAAAATCTAGAATGCTTTACTCCAGACTATATTCTCAGTTTAGATCCCGTTGGTAACTACGGATATATAACTGAGGTCGATCTGGATTGTCCACCCGATTTACTTGATCTTTTTAACGAATTTCCTCTCAAACCCGAAAAGCTTAAAAATCGATTTAGATCAATTTAGTCCCAAACAAAAATTATTACTCAACAATAAAGCTCCCCCCAAAAAATCATTGCCACGTTGGCGCCTATAAGAAATACGTGGTATATTATCGATTATTGCAACTGTATTTACAACTCAGTCTCAAATTAACAAAAGTACACCGTGCGATTCAATTTCGCCAACGACCGTGGTTGTGCAGCTACATCGATAAAAACACTACTTGACGTAAACAAGATAAGTTCCGCATTGATCAAGACCTTTTAAATTCACCAACAAAGCAGTGTATGGCAAAACCATGGAAAACAAACGCAATCGTTGTACGGCAAAATTAACGCTCGACAACGATTCTGACGTCGTAAAATTTAGAAGCATGTTTAATAAGCCAAGTTTTAAAAGAATTATATCTTTCAAAGAATGTGACATGAGCTATTTCGAAAATAAAAGTCACGCTCGACAAACCTATCTATATATGTAGGAGTTGCAATTTTAGAACTATACAAAATGTTAATGTATGACTTTTATTACACTTCGTTAAATAATCGTTGTAAAGATCGATTGAGTATTATTCACCGACATCGACAGTTTATTCTGTGAAATTAAAATCGATGACCTTTTCCGAAACCTTTTATAAATCAAAGATCAGTTAAATTATAGTAATTATCCCTCAGATCACCAGTTATACGACCCCCAAAACAAAACATTATTTGGCGGTACACTCGTTTCAGAAGCCATCTGTATTCGACCCAAGATTTGTACATGTATTATCAAACTTGCAGATAACACAGAACTCAAAAAACCAGAGGTGCCAGCAAGCTCATTACTGAGCAACACCTACATCACGAGTCTTACGAAGACTGTATTTTAATTAAAAAAGTTTATGAACGATCAATGTCTCGTACGATCGTATCAACATCAGCTTTATACCATTGTTCAAAAAAGTTATCGTTCACATTCACTCGACACAAAACGATATGTTCTTGGCAGTGGCATTGATATCCTATCATTTGGTCACAAAACGCTCGAGTTAATTCGAAAACTTAAAACATTAAGTCATAAGCCAAAAATCAAAGCACGTCGTGAACCAAACAAAGGTTGTGAACCAACCCTGGGTACCTGTCCAAGGAAAATCAAGGCAAATCTTGAACCGAGCAAAGCGAGTCGTGAATTAACCCTGGATCCCGAAGTATTGTCATTTTCAAATCGAGCTGACTTAAACCCAATAAAGTGAGGTTAATCGAGCCAGTACTGCTTAAGTTTAACAGTCGCGACAAAGTCGTAAATTCGAACGATGCCGCAGAATACTCGATTACGGACCTAACGCTCGAATACGAAGTCGTAACCAATCGTTAACTCGCTGAAGCGTTGAAAACCAAACATCTTGGCCCAGTGTACTACATATTTGAAAACGTTCATAATTTGGAAATACGTTCTGAGAATTACTCAGACACATTATAGAACGTGGTGATTAACCAACCTATCCGCAGTTTGAAAGGTGTCTTGATTTGTTCAAAGATCCCGCGGTCAAAAACCCACAACGATTTTACAGTCCTCACATCGTTCAAACGATCGCTACGGCACTGATCAACACTGGAACGAAGCGTGCAAAATTTGGGGTGATTCACACACCAAATTGGGTCGTCACGTCGCAAAAGACCTGAACTTGGCGGGTATCGATATAACCGACTACCTAAGAGAAAATACGGTTTGTAGCTCGATTTCAACGACAACGCGGGGCACGGCAGTTGGCGTAGAGTTGGTGACTGGGGTACCAATGAAACGCTAAGCAGAAGCCGCGGGTAATCTTGCAATGTATGTGTTTCTCATCATGGATGCCCAACTCACGATCGAAGACAGGAATTTCAAATCGTTGAGTTATTAGGTTATGTTGACTTAATTTAAAAGATGAAAAAGCAAAACAATGAGCGAAGCGAAATGACGTCTCCCAAAAATGCTTTAATCGTTGGAAAAACCAACTCGGGGAAAAAAAAGAGGGTACTTGACTTACTCGAAACAAAATACCTATGCCCCATGATCAGAATTCACCGCGTGGATCGCGATGTTTTAGTGCAAGGACCAAAATTCCATCAAAGCAAAAGCGCCTTCACTTGTCAAGAAATGCTCGGTCAATTTTTAATGTTTTAAAAAGTGCACTGTTCAGTTCGCGTACCTCAAAAAGATGTCAAACCGTCTTCATACATAGAAGAAGAGTATACAGAGATACACAAAAAGTGATTCTACGAAAAATTCATTTCCTGGATCCTTTAAAGAACAACTGAGGGATATACGGTTTCAAAACTATTGTTAAAAACCGAACCACCAGTTAGTTGGTGTATGTTGTAAGCTAGTTGTGCTTTTATTGCTGTAAATAAAAGACAACAAATAATCAACAATGTTGCAATACGTGCAGCTTGCTATCGAGCCAGTTATAGCACTCAATTTGATGTATTACACCTATGAGTATTCACGCTTGAAACAATTGGTACTCAACAAAACTAATTTGCTCAGTTACGTCCAGGAACAAAAATTATGCAACTTTTTTACTTCTTTTAAGAATGCAACAACAAAACGAGTGCAAAACCATTTTAAAATCACATGATTACGCAACACCGACCCCAGATGCTTGCGCAGCACCAAGTACAGTTGATTTCAAATCTGAACTTTGTGCAATTGTGGCTCCTGGAGATTCCCCAAAAGAGCTATAGGCAAGGAATTCACCGTGAAAAATTGAGTCTTTACCGCCGTCAGAACAATTTGGAAAAAAAGTGGTTTCGACTGTGGATTTGTTGTTGTATCCTTTATACGATCTGACGCGTAGGTCCATATCCGATGGAATGAGATACAAACTTTGCCTCACGACAAAATTCAAAGGTGTTTTGGCGTATTGTTATGAGTCTTGAGAGTCTTTAATAGATTTTGTGAGATCTGGTTTTCGTTGATTCTTGACTCCACGTCCGTGATAAAGTGACGCTTTGCATCTATTCCGGTTCCAATGCGCTGGTTCTGGCGGTTGCTTAAGCCACCAACAATGACCAGACGTAAGTTTGGATCGAATCGTTTACGTGAGTAAATCCCACGTCTGTGAGTTTGGTTCATTTGTGAGGAATAAAGTCTTGCCACGCCATTTTGACGTTGTCGTCTTGTTCGATCCAACCAGTCATATACTTCAACGTGAAGCACGATCCTATGGGCTGCCAACCAAAGCGTATCGTGGTACCCTCCAGTCCATACTGTAGACTGGTTTTGAATCGTTGTGTTTCCGGAACGGGGAAATAATTATGAGTGACGTGTTCAGAAAAACCGGCTATGTCGTAATTGTAAGCGGTTCCGAGACCGTTTGAACAAGGGTCGCGGGTTTGTCTAAAATTTTTGTTAGCATCCACGTTAAACTCGCGGCAAATGTCGATAAAAGCAGCGTGGTTGTTGTGCGGGTCAAATAGGTCGTTGCCGGGTAGCGGGAACTTGCGCCGTGATATTTGTTTTCGAACGGTGTAATAAACGTGGAAGTTCATCAAAGCCGATACGTAATGGTTGGGATCAATGCAACACGAGGTTGTGGTGCAATATAAAGTAAAATTTATTTGATTTTGATAAAACAGCAGTGGGTCTGTACGGTAGTGATGTACGACTTCTTGCATTTTGTAAGCCGTAGTGATATCGGGAAACCTGGCCCAAAACGAATTGTTTTTGTTGACTACGATAAACATATTGCTATAATTGACCCCCATGGTTTTTAAAAACCGCAAGAATTTTTTTAAAACAGAGTAATAAATAGAAGTATAATTGTACACACTTGTAAAAATAAACAGCAAAAATAAGCAGACATTCAATTACAAAATTACATCAATAATCTAAAAGGTGATAAAAATGTCAAGAAAAAAGTCAAGAAAGTAAGCTCTCACCCTGGGTATTTCAACATTACAAACTCCACCGAAATCGAAAGGCAATCTCAACTCGAAGGAAGGCCTGCTGAAGGGAGACATGAAGGACGCAGGTTAAAGATCAATATGGATATTGTAAAATCAATTTAACTTACAATGCCGTCGTCAGAATCAGAGGCTGACAGTTAGGTTTTCTTTTGCGACATAATAAGAGATTATATTCGAGCTTACGAGGCAGGAAATCTAGAAGAATGTAGTAACACTATCACCCCCAAAATAAATGATCTCACAGAACAAACATCAAATTTGAATTTATTTTCTAAAGAAAAAGGAATTAAAGGCAATGGAATATCGAATGCTTTTAACTCTTGATAAAAATATCTTATTGTAGAAGCCCGCCGCATAGCCCTGAGGTTTATTCGCGAAGGATTTTTAGCAGAAACACCGACGAAAGAACGAGAACAATAGAAACGCTCAAACGGAACCGCACCCGGAGACGCTCTTTTAGTTGTGGGTTTTAATACCGCGCCACCCATACTTGTCGGAGAAGCTAACTATAGGTGGCGCTGTAGCAAGTTTAGCGAGTACATGTTACTGTTATGTTCATCGTAGTTTGTACATACTGGTACATGTACATGTAGGCCATATGCTGGTTGCGAGATGGCACCGAGGAGGAGAAAACCTGTTTCCTCGGAAACTAACGAGGCAGGTGATTCGAAAAAGAAACACAATCATGCAGACAAGGAAGCAGAATCTAGGTAAAGATGCAACATTGTACCTCTACATGCGTGATATGTAGGGGCCCTTTGGACTGTGTACGTTGGATTCGCTTACAAACGTTGGACATGTTGAACTCATGTTGGACGGAAGTTGGAGCCTTGGATTTCGTGTCATTTGATTTTTCACTTTCAGGTCATGTTCGTTATTAATCACCCTGACATGCCTGATTTAGCATGTTTAGCATTTTATTTATTCCTTGATAAAAGAAAATACTCATTTTCTACGAAGTACGATGTTCGAAATTCTGGATCTAGCTAAATTAGGGGCCTACTGCTCACAGTCACGTGTTAAAGCTAGTGATTTGCATGCAATTTGATCTGTTCCATTTATGGGACGGAATAAAGTAGGTACATGTTTCTTATAAAGACTATTGTTAAGACTCTTGCTTTTTCAGGACAGACCCGTTGAATCAGGTGGTGGTGACGATGTAACACAAGTCACATAATACACAAAAAGTTAACTGTGTACCAAAACCCCAAGGGTATTGAGTTTGTCAATTACAAAACTCCTCCTTCAGTCAGTCAGTGTGCAACAAACTAAATTATAACAACAATAACCCGTGGCTATCTGCCTAGGATTATACATCTGGCACTGAAGTTGGTAACGCGAGTTAAACGTAAAGCGAGTCACAGCATTTAAAGCAGCGGGGTACCGTGAGTCACAATTTAAACTGCAGTAGTTGCAGTGCTTATTATCTTTTCATCAGTGCCAATTGTTTTCTAAAGTTTATCAGGTTTATTGGCATCTGAAATAGAGGGCAGCAGATAATATTGTCATAATTCCATACACCGTTTCCTGTTAGTTTTGCAACGTTCCTCATTTGCATCATGTACATGTACAGTACATGTGGGCTGAAAAACAAAAGATTTACGTCTATCATCATCTATCTGAAATAAAGGTAAGTAAATTTAACTTTCTCACAAAAACATATCGATAGGGGTGAAAAGTATTAAACTTTCCTAAAAGTGAAAGGAAATAACGAGGAAAAATGGGGCACACATTGCACCAATTGTAGAATTTAGACAAATGAAATGCATGGAATTCTATGTAGCATGACCTCTATGGCTATTGCAATGCAAACTATACACAATGTAGCATACCGGTGAATTTTTCTCCTGTTTTAGGCTTATTCTTGTCTTTCTGCGTATCAAGTGTCATTTAGAAATACACATGTACATGTACTGTACCAGTGTACTGTACTAAGCCTAAAACATGTATAGTCGACAATATTACTTAATACATGTACCTGTATTGCTGAATGGCGTTGTTGTAAAATGGTTAAGGAGAAATTTTTTCATACATTGTAAACCACACATAAAGTGATTTAAGAGCTGTTGACTGTTTTCCATAACCAAGCAAAAGTGCCTGCAGGGTTACCTTTGATAATTTGTATCCCACAACATTAGACATGTTTACTAGTGCCAAATAATAAAAAAATCACTGTGATAGCTCGTGAAATGTTCATATTGGTATGTACTTCACATGTAAGATTACAAGGACATGCATTGCACATGTTTGTACTATATTTTAATAATTGGCAAGGTATCATTAATAAATTGCCTTTCATTTTTGTAAAATTACCTGTAAGGAATGTCCCAAAATTTTACTAGAACTGTTCTTTCATTTCAGATATTGCCGATATATGTATGGCTCTCACAGCAGCAGAAAGACAATGAAAAAGACATTAAAAAGTTTGTGTAGCGACTACAGTAAGCAACAGAAAGAGATGAGCAGAAAAAGCTGTGAGCTCAAGAAGGCAATGGAACAAACCTAACAAAAGCTAAACAGAACAGGCTGAAAAATTCACAGTCAACCATCGTGGCCTTACAACTTCTTGTCATGAAGTGTGTTTGATCAACCATATGTGGTAATGTGGCATTTATTCAAAATGACATGTGCCAGTTACTTTTCTTGGGGGGGCACCACATGTCAATTCATCAAAGTAATTCTTTTAGCGGTCATGATATGAAAATGTTATAATTATTAACTTGGCAACTATTTGTCTTCTCATTTAACTGCAAACCTGAAAGCATTGTTGCACTGGTAACTATGTATACACAAACAGAATCAAGCTAATGTGTGAATAATCTACATGTAGGGTAATCTTGAAGTAACATGAGTCACAGTAACGCGAGTCACATCGATTATTTATGTTTTTTCCTAAACTGGTTGGGAAATGCAAATCATTTTAGGTGACTTAGAAATGGTATTGAGTTGTGAGTTTCTGATAACTATTCATTGTTTTCTCGAATTCATAGTTTGAGGAGAAATTTGATTTAAACCTCAGCCGATTTTACTGCTTTTCTTTTGAGTAACACGAGTCACGCTTAAATTACAATGCAATAAAAGCGTCGTTATCTATTGAAATCAATTTTTGTTTGTGTTATTTTATACCAAGTGTTAGTAAGTACCTACACAAAGTAAGTGGAATTTTTAACTGCTACATTTCAGTACTTGTGTGGTTATAAAAGTTTCAAAATGAGCTAACATGTAACACAAGTCGCCAAGGAAATGCGTGGTCTAATTTTAGTGCTGCAGTGCAGCTGTTTTGGTATTTCCGGTTTTTGGTATTTCCAACGGTATAATTGCAGTGGCATTGACTAACTTTGATTTTTTTTCCACATACCTACAAATAGTGGCCTGAGTAGGCACAACTTATGCACACAACCGAGGCCTGGCATAATATTTATGTACTTTACATGTAGCATAGGACTACAGCCTACATGTACATGGAACAAAAATATGGGGATGATGGGAGTTAAATGTGTGTACTTTGCCCCATCTGCCAGTTACCCTGCACCATCCTGTGATTTTTTGCTTTGGTTGTGCTAGCCTAGTACCCTGGGAAAACTAAGTTAAAGCCCCAGCCCATCACCAATACCAATAACCTAGTGATGGCATTGTTATGACTTTGAGAACTCAAAGTCACTAACTACATGTGTTTTTGAGCCAGTGTAATTTACATAGAGCAGTAATGCTATGGGGTTTTTAATGGCACATTTGAATTTTTTGGAAAAACTGATGTTTTTACACACCAGTCTCTCGCTTCCACCCAACGACGATTGCATCGTCCATGCTGTTTGTGTTTATCACATTGCGCATGTGTTCGGCTGGCCAATGTCCAAGCTTGCCCCGCATCTTGCTTCGAGCATTTTTGAAAGCGGGGGGATTTCTAAAATCTTATTATCTGCCATAGCTACACAGCGCAGTGCATAGTCACACAGTAAAGGCAGTTGTGCAATGAAAACAAGATGTTGCTCCCTTGGTCCCATGCTCTTAAACCCTTGTTCCACCCGTGTCGCCCCCTTGGTCCCAGGCTCTTAAACCCTTGTTCCACCCTTGTCGCCCCCTTGGTCCCAGGCTCTTAAACCCTTGTTCCTGCCTTATCGCCCCCTTGGTCCCAGGCTCTTAAACCCTTGTTCCTGCCTTATCGCCCCCTTGGTCCGATGCTCTGAAACCCTTGTTCCACTCTTGTCGCCCCCTTGGTCCCATGCTCTTAAACCCTTGTTCCACCCTTTCTAATAGCTACAGGTACCTTAAGTTTCCACTCAAGCACACACAAAATTGATTGGAAATTCGAAAAATGATGTCATTGAAAAACTTTAAACACAATAAATAATATACAGTGTACATTTATAAATAGTTAACACAAAGTTTCGGTGATGAATTCACGGTACTCCTTTGATATGACCGAACATTAAAAGTGTCCTGGAAATCAGGTTACATTTTACAGACATCGATTACAATAAAAATCAATGCCAGATATTGCTAATTAAAACGTCAAACCTCAGGAAGGGGTTATCCAATGAAATGTTGAGGAAATCTGTAAACAGAGGTGGATCTTTTTTCGTCAAAATGTGTAAACGTCCCACCCTTATGCAGAATGTGAAAACTACATGATGCGCACACGCCCAGTGCATAGAACTGACAAAAAATTATGCTTTGTTCATTAGTGAGGAGGAAGTACCACGGCACAGGGTCACCTTCCGGTCCTTGGCTCTTCGATTGTTGGCCATCTTCTTCTTCTTAGGCCTGGCTCACTGGTACTCTGCCAAAGCTGGTCCCCAGACGTTAGCTCAGCAAACAGAAACTGTACACTCCAGACGCTTTAACGTCACATGTTCTTCAGATTTCGCATCCGACCTAAAAAGGTTTAAAGGTAACTAAAGACTGACTTGAAGTTTCAGGTTCAACCATTACAGGTTGTCAAGCCCAGTGCATGTATAATCAGCTGAAGATCTTGACTGTTAAAATACAAAATAAAATAATACATTGCGTCACAGCAACTTTTTACAGGAAAAGAATACCTCTCAGATTCTGACATGGGATTTATTTTTGAAGGACTTGTATTTTACATTTCTTTAATAACTTCTTTGTGTAAACTTGAAAGAGAGTTTAATCTATCACCCAACACTTTACATGGTTGCCTGTGACAGTTTTACACAAGCTGCCCATGGAACTGCTAGTCACAGAAAAACATTGCAGGTGCATGGCACATGTCCTCTGCCAGTATCTTGTTAAATCTGTTGATTAAAAATGTGACGGCATACAGTAGAACCTCGTTAAAAAAGAGCGTTGATAATACAACATTCTGCTTAAAACAAGGACATTTGTAGGCCCAATCCTTTGCTTGTCATTGTATTCATTCCCGATAATACAAGGTTCCTTTTATAATAAGGTACTTGTAATTTGCCAAGTCCAAAGGACTTCTTCACTGTATTTGATAATTGGGACGGCTTTTCCCACAGGATGTGCTCCGACTCAGTGTGGCAGAGTGATAATGGACAGCCTTGTATCAAAGAGTGAAGCCAGACACTTATTAGAGTAAGCAAAGCTTCACAGTCACTAGTAAGCTTTGAGCATCAACACAAGGGTATGAGACTTGAAACTTTGGACAGATCCATAGCTGAGAATGAACCTGTGAACAAGATCTCATCAGAAAGTGAGGGGACTGGACTCAGGAAGCCTGAGCCAGAAGCCTCTGCTAGAAGCTAGCTCAAGGATTGAGAAATGGTCCTCTAGATAGGGTTGGGTGGTCAAATGTATCTAATCTTAGCTTAGTACCTTACTGTTGATGTCAGCAACTGGAGCTAAACGATAGATTCAGGTACCTGTAACCAACTTTGTAAACGAACTTGTAGCAAGTCAGACAAGGAAAAAGAAAGCTTTTATATTTATAAGGAAATCTCTTTAATGAGACCCATGAAGACTGGATAGAATGCTTAGGTATGTATGCATGCATATGTACATGCTGAGGAGCATTTTGAGACAGACACAATTTATTGCATTTTTCACTTTGATACCTTTGCCTTGAATTTGGGAGTGATATTTCTTTTGCTGGTGTCCAGGTATGTACCTTTTTTACTTCAGAAGTACATGGTCCCCATAAGTACATGGTTCACAAACACATATATTTTTATGTATACCACTAGAAATGAGCTTTCATGCCAGTCACTTCTAACCACCCCTAAGGTTTTAGAGCTCAGTAGTAAAGATACCAATTTTGTTGATTGATGTATTGAACTTTTTGATCACTAAGTTTACACTTTTGTTTCAGACTTGCAAAAAATGGACTACAGTTGGGTGGGTCCAATGGAGGGGTGAGTTTTCACTAAGGGAATAAGTATGTGCTTGGTCGGTCTTAAACGAGCATTTAAGACCGGCGCAGGAGAATGGACCCGACTATTGCCTGAGCTGCAGGCGAGGGTGTTATCAGCGTTCGTTCTCCTGAGTAAGGTCTTAAACGTTAGTTTAGGACTGGCCAAGCGCATATTTATTTCCATTCATACATGTAAATACCGGTACCTTTTTATTCAGAGAGTCAGAAGAAGTCAACGTACTGTATGATGGATTTCCGACAATTTGTTTCTGAAACTTTATTTTCATTTGTCATTGCTCATCCTACAGATAGCTTTGTCCAGTGGTCCACCTCCATAACTTCAAACTGTATAAGACCAAAAGTGTCAACAATTAGTTTCACATTTAAAAAACTAATTTATCTGCAACTATAAGGATGATTTTCACCACTGAATCACCTTAATGTCCTTGTGTATGTGTATCAAATGCTTAAAATGTCAGTCCTCATTCATAAACACCTGGGACAGTTTTTCTATTCCTGTTGGTCAAAATTGTGTTAAACATTTGATAATTCCCGCTGCGTAAATCACACTGGCACATACAGTGTAGATACCAGACAGAATTGGGTCAGACTGGTCAGGAGTCTGTATGCACGCGATGCGCCATACACGCCAAGTTCATTGAAGGGGTTTCAGTTGGCAAACTTTCAAAAGTAATATACCACACAATGGACGGGGGTGTTCAAAGTTATGGAGGTCAACCACTGGACAAGGCTATCTGTAGGAGATAGTTGTTTCCAAAGCTGAACAGCTAAAGTGGATACTTGGACGTCCATCCAGTTGATCGAATATTTGCACCAAAGAAGAAACCAAAAATATGCACTTGGTACGGCAGGCTACCATGTTGAGTTTCATAACAGTGGTCCAATTCCTCAAAAAGGAGGGAGGCTAGGAGTCCAATTGATGGTGGGCCTAATTGGTGATTTGTTCCCCTATTCCCACTGAGATCACACACCATAAAAAAGGTAAAAAGAGAGAATTAAGAGGAACAGTAATTTTTCCTGCCTTTGGCATCATGCATCAGTTGCCAGTAAGTTCATTCAGAACACCTTGAAATATTTTGGAATACAGTTTTGTGACATAATAATTGAATTTCCCCCCTTTCATTTACATGTATTTTCACCTGTGCATATTCAGTTTAAAAAATGCATTAGAATATTCATCAATTGATAGGCTTTGTCATTATGGGTCATTTGGTTACTGCACAGTGTCAGATGTTGGAGGAATTAGGCATCGTCCTAAACAGAAGTCCCTTGGGATTCTGGGTATTAACCTCTTTATCTCCTCTGCAGGCATCCATTCTTGATCTTCACTCCGGTGCTCTTTCTAAAGGCGATTCATTTATAAATATTTACAAGTAAGTGTGAGAAATCTTTCTGCATAGTGAAATTGATTCTGTTACAGAAATTTACATTACATTTCAGGATGCTAAATGGCTGGCATCTAAGGTAAGTCTTAATGTGACAGCGTGTGAAAATTCAAGGTATCAGAAAATAGAAATTGAATGGAAAATTGCAGATCGTAAATTGACTTCATAAATGACACACCAGAGTACATATACATATAGGTCTGTGAAATCCATGGGTCAGGCCTGTTTGTTTCACTTGGATTGGGATCTCGATCGGTGATCCTAAAGCTGGTTTGCACCATCCATCAGATGAATTTTGGTGTCTGTATACCAACGACAGATCACTGATTTGTGATCCAGATCTGTGCAATACAAACATGGCCTCTGTCAGAGTTTGACGTGCATTTTGTTTTGATCTGCTTCCATTCTTACACCCCTGCACATATGATCATGTTCATTGGTGATCTGGCACCCACAAAATCCTCAGTAGTATTAAATCACTAGTTGAAATGAAGCTGTTTTGTCATTTTTGATGGCATCAAGAAAAGTTAAGGAAACTAAATGTTAACCTTGTTCTACATGTTGTTGAATGTGTACATCTGGGGTATTAGCCTTTGTGATAAGGGTGTACATTAAAAACTCTAACTGCCATTGCTTTTCTGTGCTTGTTTAATCAAAACATCTTCTCTACCTCAATTTTTTTTTTTTTTACAGAGAAGTGGTAGCCGAGAACTGGCTGAAACGGTAGCTAAATACTTTCATTCCACTGGTAGTTTTAAGTGTAGTTAACATTTGATTACAACTGTATGTCTTAATTTTTATGTTTATCCAGATATTTAGAAAAAAGTGAACTAGGCAGCGTCTTTCATGAAGGAGACTTTCAGCTCTACAGGTGAGACGATGCACAGATCGTGCATTTGTTTGCATTTTTCCTGCATGTTTGTTGTCGTTTTTGAGTTATTTTCGTGCTACCAAGTATTTTTCTGTAGCACAGAGTTGTCCAGTGGGATAATTGTATGAGCTGTAAATTTCACCCCAAAGCCAACCATAGCTCGTGTTGGAAAGTTAGAAATTCAGTCAAATCTAGAATTTAGGAATTTTTCATGTGGATTTCAACACCATGTATTGGTTGGAGTGGTCATTAACAAGATTGTGTCAACACTTACCTTCCAAGATCTTTCAAAATCCACAGGATATTGTGGGATTTTGCATGATGAAAAAAGAAAGAGCCTAGCTATTTAGCTTTAGAAATTTGCCCATTGAAAGGTGAAGTATATGTACCAGTGGTTTATGTACATGTATGTACGTGAATGTATCACTGGTATTTACAATACAGGTATCCAAATAAATTCCTTCATCTGATTGGTTGGTCCTTGATCGTGAGTCATGGAATTTTTCCTAGTGTACGGGATGGCCATGCTACGAAATAAGTGTCATTTCTGTGTAAAATAGAAGTTCTGTATATTCCTTAGTAAAGAACACCCAACTGCATGGATCACTCTATTAGATGCATTATATGCAGCTTGTCATGCAAAGTGGCAGAAGATGAACACCAAACATTTGTTATTGTAACAGATGACATTTCTGAACTTGAAGTTGATGCAGGAGATTGTGAAGATTTTAGAATTTAATTAACTGATGTACATGTTGGGATGTTTTTCGGGATTATTCCACCAAAGACACAGAAAATGAAAATAATTTCATTTTGTGACAAATGGTCTTTGCTGAGCACTAACATTTTCACAGTGTGCTTACCCCTGGAATGTTCTCAAAGTCAATAGGTTTGAAATGGCATTTTGTCACTTTGTTTGTCCACAGCACCGTAGCCAAGAAGATCAAGCTAGCAATAGCCAAAGAATTCCGTATCCAGCCCAGCAAGCTCTACCTAACCCATCCCACATTCTTTTCACGGATGACCAACAAACCAGCTAAGACCATACACGACGAATATTGGCATGTCCATGTGGACAAGGTATCAGTACATTTTGCTTGCTTGACTATTAGATTGTAGATTAGCATTAGAAACCCAGGACTTAGTACAGTGTTGTAGTGGAGGCTGTGACAAGTCAAGTCCACTGCTAGTCCATCCCAAGTCCTCGAGTCTTTAACCGAGACACAACCTATTCAAATGACTGTGAGAAAAGCATCCTTTGTCATTGTTCATCCTGTTACTTGGCCTTGTCAATAATGAAACAATTACAAATTGAAAAACTCTATATGAAAAATTTACACTTTGGAATTACCTTCTCTGAATTTCCAGCCATATGCAGCCTGTTTTGACAATGCTCGGTTTATATCTTCCATGTAAATACACTGAAATATTATTCAAAAGAAGTTGTGTGAAGGTCTCGAACCAATATCACACATGGGTTTGCATGAGTTTGGACCCAGTAGAGATTACAGAATTATCTTGAAGAGACAGAAAGGTAATCTTCCTTGAATGACGCTTTAGCATGAACTTTGTACATGTGTAAAAACTCACTTTCAGTTTAGGAGACCTCTTGACATTGCATGATTTGTAACTTTCGTCAATTGACCTCCGTCATGGCAGCCGTCTTGCTTTTTAACCATTCAAAGCAATGTAACCAAATTGAGGCTGGAGGAAAGAGCATCTGTTCCCTTCTATCAATATGTGAAGTTGTATTACCAATGCCAATGGGTATACAGGAAACAAGACAAACATGGCAGCGTCAGGATAAAGTTCTATAGGTGCACATGGACCAGCGAAGTGGAGGCTTAGACTTTAAGTTTTTATTTCCGCCTCAGCTTTTAAAAGTATATGGAACAGTACTTGGAATAAGAACCAAATTTAAACTGGAGAAAAGTGTATGTGGGCAAATAGTGAAGTGTAAGGCACTGTCCAAATCAACTTTCGGCAGCAGGGAGAGATAGACAGGTCCTTGGAATCCATCACAATCCTTTGGCACATTTTTTTCACAAGTCCACTTCCAAGACTAGTCAGAAGACAAGTCACAAGACCAGTCATAAGACCAGTCACAAGTGTTAACTGGATGAGCAATGACAAAAGAGTGCATCTGTTACAAATAATTTGAGCAGCTTGCGGCTTGGCTTCAGACGTGATGGCCTTTGATGGACTTGCACGGCTTGCAATAGACTCAGTAAGTCCTGAATGCACTCCACTTGCCCGTGTTGTTAGTTTGCACAGCGCCCGTGTTAGTCCATAGGCAGAGTACTACTGGGGCTAACAACACTATACCAAGAGAAAGGTTTAGGACATTTGGTTTTTACCCCACTAGGAGACCTATGATACCTTTGACTACACGTCTTTGCTCTACCTCGCTGATTATGGGAAGGATTTTGAAGGTGGCCGTTTCATCTTCACCGACAAGGGCACCAACATGACAGTGGAACCTAAACTAGGTAGGCACAGTGTTAACAAAAACAATGTGCACTTGTTGTGCACTTTCTTTTGTTGTGCACTTGTTCATGGAATTCATTGGTTAACATGATAAATAGAGCATGCAAAACTGTATACGTGGTGAAAAATCTATTGACTTTTAGTGTGGTTCCCAATCGTCTTCCTGTCCTCCTTTTTGCCTTTAAGTTTCATTTTCCCCAGTTCCTGGAATGGAAGTTTTTCATTTGATCCTTAAATCTGACAGTTCAGAGTCAAATATGGAGCTGGAGACTAATTTGTGCATCCTTAATTTCAAAAATGGTCAGGACTACCCTCCCCCTCCCACTAGAACATAATCAGCCAATTACCCGGTGACTTCCTTGGTATACATAAAATATACACATTGGTTTCTAAATATATAGCAGATTTACCGTGCACTTGAATCAGCATGTTCACTTTGCATTGAGTTCATTTTTCATATTGTGGCTTTGCTTCAATCTTTTGTCTTTTGTCTTCATCTGATTGTTGGTCGCCAGCTTGAGAGGTTCTGCCTCAAAATGAATCGCTTTTCCTTAAATGCGACAGGTGTGCACTCATAGTCACTGTGATCATCTTGCCTGTAAAAACTGCAGGCACTCACACTGCAATTGTTTTCCTTTTCTTGTAGGGAGGTTGTCTTTCTTCACCTCAGGCTCAGAGAACACTCACTTTGTGGAGCGCGTCACCAAAGGAACCCGGTACGCCATTACGGTGTCTTTCACGTGTGACAAGGCGAAAGCCATTGAACATCCAAAACTCCGCAAGTCATGAATTACGAATAGCTTTCCAACAATAAACATCACATTATGGCATTGTTCCAGCATGTGCTGATACATTTACATGAAGGAACATGGCTCCCCTCAAGTTGTTTTTAGAACATGCCTTACAAATAAAAAAGACAAGTTGGTGAGCTTTAGTGCAAACAGATCAACACATACCTCCCAACCATTTAATTGGAACTGGTCTGATTTTTTTTAATCGGAAAGTTCCGATTCCCCATTAAGGAATAGATGGATAAATAAATGAATAAGTAAAAAGCCCTAGCAAAAGAGAGTGCTATCTGTGGGAAAAATAGTGTGCTCTTTGCTATATCAGAATGGCAGTTGACGGGGGGGCGTAGGGGGTGCACCCCCCACTTGCATATCCTGATGTGATCACGATTATGTACATGTATATGTCCAACATGTAGTCAGCCCCCCCCCACTAAAGCGTGAAACCCCCTGCTCGGCCCCCCCACGCTCAGATCCCTGGCTATGGACTCATATAATGGGTCTTCTGATATCTGACTTTTCACTGTTGACAGGTACATGTATATCTATGGATCTTTCTCTCTGTGTGTCACAGTTGTAGATTTTACCTGCCACTGCTAGGTAGACAAGCTAGTCATCAGTACAAATGAAAAAAATTAACGAGGCATTGCAGAGTTACATAAAAGTTTGAAGCAAATACTTGTATGTCCATGCACTCGTACATTGTGCTGGTTCATCCATATTACATGAGCTGTTCGAACCAAAGTTACAGACAGTAGACCACCCGTGGGTTGTATTTTATGTGAATGGTACCTGAAGTTTGAATAAAGTTGAAGTAGTTTGCAAAAACTACTTAAGATAAGGAAATAAGGTGTTGCAGATGAGTAACATAGGCACTACATGTTATACACAGTGGATGTGTCAGGTAAATGCTCTACCAATTCAGAGAGCGTAAAACTCTGAAATACTTGTAAGATTTTTATTGCCTTCGATAAGTAGAAGTGAAAATAGTTTTCATTGCTAAATTCCCATTTGAGAGGTAGGGAAGTAGTTGTTCATAAAACGTATGCATTAAAACCAATTTGTCGGTGGTGGAATCCGGGATTTGGCTTGGTTTCTGCTTTGTCAGGGTAGAGAGGTCAGAGGTCAAGACCTTATTTGGGAACGATTGCTGTCGAACTCAACCAGTTGCAATTTTGTTCAGGGGGAAGACTTGAGAAATTGGTGACAAATTGATGCTGAACTTGGTGTGCCAATCCATTGTCTGCTCAGTTCGGGAGGAATTGCCAAACGTCAAGTTCTGAAAAGCTACTTGTGTGAGGTTTTACAGAAATCCGATTAAAAAGTGCCTTTTGAAAGCCAATTGTGTTTACAGTCAAACTAAGCAGAAAGCAAATTCACATTACACACTTTTTTATTTAGTGGTTTATTGTTGAAATATAAATATATGTATGTACATTTTGTTTCAGTTTTTGCAAATAATGTAAATATTTGATTCAAAGTGTATACTTCAAAACGAAAGGTACCGGTAGTCGGTAATACTGATACCTAAAATGAGAGAAAAACGTAACTGTACACAGTATGTGTGTTACACATCAGTGACCGTCTCGATTGTTTCATAACTCTATGGCATTGATATTGTAGCGCTGGCGGGTCCGGCCGGTGGGGGCGCCAGCTCGGACGCGCATGGAGTTGGTTGGCTGCCTCCGCTGGTTGCCAACGGCCCGCGGTTTTCCTGCCTTGCGCCTGCGCAGTCCCTGCCGGGAGGCGCCATGTTTAGAGCTTGTCTGAAAAACACATTGTAGTTGACGCTACAGAAATAAAACAGAGATTTTCTTGATCAGAATAGCGATCTGTTGCTGTGTGTGTCTATACTAGCGTCGGACCCCAATCCGTAGGACACGCTACAACTGGTGGCAGCAGCGAGACGCTGGATAGCTGTAAAAAAAAAAAGGTAAACTCTTCGCCTTTTCGGTGTCATGGCATGGGTGGATGATTTGGGTCGGGTGCCGGACTCGCTAGACAGCGGTAGCACAGGCCAGCACGGGGCCCAGTGGTCGGGGGCCCAAACTGCAAAGGCGACGTGGAACTCACCTGGGTTGGCGGGCGAGCTGGAGTCGTTCCTCGCGGGGAATCTAGAACAGTTATCCAGGAGCGGGAGGCGGAAATTCGAGGGTATCGAGTGCGCAGCGTGGGGGGATCTTTAGGGTTAGGTCCCGTGGAGAATGCAGTCAGCGCAGTCTCCGGGCGACTTCCCCCCTCCCAAAGTCGATGGGCGAGAAAGGTGCGGTTCCGTTTGAAGCACGACCATTTCGCCCCGATCGCTGGGGAGGGGGCAGGGCATCGCCAGGCGACATCCTCCCAACCCCTCACTAGTACACCCATCGCCGGCGTCCGTGGGGCGCCCTCTGGTGGCGGGGACGCACTGGGAGAGGCGTTCCAGTCGGAGCGCCCTCGGGGTGGGTCCGCGGCTGGGGGGTCCTGGCGGGGGCCGGTTGGAAGTTCATTCATGTCATGTGGTAAAGTCGGGGCGCCCTCTCGCGGTACCGTCGTGGCCGAGAGAATGTTCCTCTCAGAGCACGGCCGGGCGGCTGCCGCGGGGTTGGAGCCTTTGTGCGAGGTACTAACTGAAGCTTGTAGTACTAGCCATAGTATGGGGCGCCCTCTTGCGGCGCCACGGTGGCTTAGGAAGCGTTCCTCTCTGAGCGTGGGGGCCCCGATGCGAATTGATGAGAGCTAGAGGACCCGTGACAGGTTTCAGGGCGCCCTCACGCGCAGGGGACGTGGCTGGTGTGGCGTACCGCCTGGAGCGCTACGAGGCCGCGGCCACGGTCGTCGGAAGGGGGAATCGAGACGGGCAAGCTGGAGTTTGTGAGATAAATAGTGAGATGCGGGCGCCCCCACGCGGCGAAACTGCGACAGGTGGCGCGATTGAGGCGGATCCCCACTCGGGGATCTGCACGTGTCTGTGCGAGGCGGATCCCCCTCGGATCCACGCTCAAACTCATAAGGTGGATCCCCGTTTGGGGGTCCGCACGCGTCTGTGTGAGGCAGATCCCTCTCAGATCTACGCACGGACGCATGGGGCGGATCTCCACTCAGGGATTCACACGCATCTATTATGAGGCGGATCCCCCTCGGATCAGCGCTCAAACTCATGGGGGATCCACACGCGCCTGTGTGAGGCGGATCCCCATTCAAGGATCCGCACGTGTCTGTGTGAGGCGGGTCCCCATCCGGGGATCCGCGCGCGCCTTGTCGAGGCGGGTCCCCCTTGGATCCGTGCGCGGGCGTGCGAGGTGGATTCCCCTCGGATTTACGCGCAGACACACGAGGCGGATCCCCAACCGGGGATCTGCACACGCCTGGTTGAGACGGATCCCCCCCCCAGATCCGCACACTGACATACGAAGCGGATCCCCGAGTGGGTGGAGCCGGATCAGAAGGATCGAAAACCGGTGCTACTTCCGGACCGGTATGACGGAAGCTCGTCCTGTTATATTACGCACTTCGAGAGTGTGGCCACCGTCAATAGATGGAGCGAGGCAGAGAAGGCGGGATACTTGGCCTCCCATCTGCGGGGACTGGCCCAGGAGGCATTCACCGACTTATCGCCGGAGGCCCAGATGGACTACGTGAGCGTCCTGGAACACTTTGAGCGGCGGTTTGGAGTTGCTTAACAGGTGCCGCTCCATCGACCTCAACTTTCCATGCGGGTGCGCGGTCGGGGAGAGTCCCTAGAGGAACTGGGGAGGTCCATCCGACGGTTAGTCCTCCGGAGTTACCCCACCTTTCCCACACAGGCGCGTGAAGATCTGGCGGTGGAGGCCTTCTGGAACGCCCTGGGGGACATCAGCGGTAGGGTCGGATCGGGGCCAAGGGGTTCAGGTGGTCGAGGAACCCTCCACAGGTACGCCGGGCAAGGCAGGGGTGGCGGGTGGAGATTCACCATCGCCGGGCGCCCCCTCGCGGGTCCAGTGCTACGGGTGCCGCAAGTATGGACATTTCCGCGGGGATAGCCCGCGGGGGAAGGGCGGCGCCGTCCGGGGCCGGCTGCTGGCGGAGCCAGTCTTGACGGCGCTGCCGGAGCCGGCCCCTGCGCCGCGTCCGTTGGCGGCAGAAACAGGGCCAGCGGCCCGACACAGGGAGACGCCTGTGGCGCCGGCGAACCGGGCCAACTACGCCACCGGCAAGCTGGACGGCAAGACAGTGCGGGTGCTACTCGACACTGGGGTGGCCGTAAGTCTCGTGTCGGCCAGGGTCCACTACGCACTTACAGGCGCCAACGAACCCAGATTGCAGCCAGCTGGACCGACTCTGCGGATGGCTGATGGTAGCCCGATGTGAGCGCACGGAGTCGCCGACTTCAAACTCCAGCTGGGGACTAGTGTACCCTACACACCTACACCGTGGTGGACATCGAACCTGACGTCATTGTAGGAATAAACTTCCTGGCTAAACACCGCTGCGAGTGGAGGTGGAGCGACAACCCACTTGTGGTTGACGGCAAGCTGGTTCCCCTGGAGGGGCCGAGCTGCAAGCCGGTGGTGGCACGGGTCCAAGTGGCCGAGAGCGTGATAATTCCCGCCGGGCACAAGGCGGTCGTGACTGGGAAAGTCTGCGGAAATCGTGCCCGCGGAGTGGGGATGGTGTACCCCAGCCTGGCGGCCACTGACCATTGCCAGGTGGCAGTTGCGACGGGCCTCGTGGATGCCAATCAAGGGGCCTTGCCGGTGCGAGTATTCAACCCGACGGGAGACCCGGTTACAGTCTATAAGGGGAGTCGTCTGGCCATGTTCGCGCCGGTGGAAGAAGGCGCGGTGATCGACCCCGAGGACAGTTCTCAACAGGTGGTTTCAGAGCCCTGCCCCACGGAAGGTTCCTTTGGAACCCCGAGGGCGGCCCGGCAGGCCACAGTTTCCAGGGAGGTTCTTCTTGGAGCTCGGGCGATAGTGTGCCCGCCCACCTGCAGGACCTCCTGGACCGTGGAGCGGCCCATCTGGACGGCAAGGAACGTGAACGGCTGGCGAGCTGCTGGTAGAGGTCCAGGGTGCCTTCACTGGGCCGGACGGCAGGCTCGGCCAAACCAACTGGGTCCACCACCCAATCAACACAGGGACGACGCCACCCATCCGGCAACCTCCCCGGCGGCTTCCGATCCACAAGCGGTTGGAGGCCCAGAGTCAGGTGGACCAGATGCTGGCGGATGGGGTAATCGAACCTTCGCACAGCCCGTGGTCTTCGCCGATGGTCCTGGTGCGGAAGAAGGACGGGTCTGTCCGCTTCTGTGTGGACTACCGGCGGGTCAATGCAGCCACCCTGAAGGATGCCTACCCCATCCCTCAGATAGAGGATAATTTAGACGCACTCGAGGTAGCCAGGTGGTTCAGCACCCTGGACTTGGCAAGCGGGTACTGGCAGGTCCGCATGGCGGAGATTGGCAAGGAGAAGTCGGCTTTCAGGACACAGAGCGGCCTCTACAGTTACCGTGATGCCCTTTGGGCTCTGTAACGCTCTGGCCACCTTCGAGCTTCTGATGGAGCGCGTCCTGCGGGGTCTCCAGTGGCAAGTGGCCGTCGTCTACCTGGATGACGTGATAGTATGGGGGCGGACCTTTGACGAGCACTATCAGAGGCTGGCCACAGTACTGGGGCGGTTCCAGACCGCCGGACTCAAACTGAAACCCAAGTAATGTGACTTTTTTAAGACGGAAGTGTCCTTCCTGGGCCACTTGGTGTCGGCGGAGGGGGTGCGGACGGACCCCGCTAAGGTCGCAGTGATCCGTGGTAGGCCAAGGCCGACAAACGTGACGCAGGTCCGGAGTTTCCTGGGCCTGGCGTCATAATATCGGCGGTTTATACCGAGATCGCCTGGCCCCTCCATGCTTTGACCAACAAGAGCCAGAAAGAGTTTGTGTGGACCGATGCCTGCCAGTTCGGCGTTTGAACACCTGCAGGATGCCCTAGCTACGGCGCCTGTGTTGTGATATCCGGACCCAGGGAGGCGCTACATCTTGGATACCGATGCCAGAAACTGCACGATCGGGGCCGTTCTCTCCCAGGAGGGGGAGCACGGAGAGCGGGTAGTGGCTTATGGGAGTCGGGTCCTGACCAAGGCGGAGAGGAACTATTGCACGACCCGGAAGGAGCTCCTGGCGGTCGTGCACTTCGTGCACTTTTTTTAAGCACTACCTGTTGGGGAAACGCTTCTTGTTGAGGACAGACCACGGCTCGCTGCGCTGGCTCTTTAATTTCAAAGAGCCAGAGGGGCAGACAGCCAGATGGCTGCAGAGGATGGGGTGCTACGAGTTCGACATAGAACACCGAGCGGGGCGGAAACACATCAACGCCGACGCCGTCTCTCGGATACCCTGCGGCCAGTGCGGGCATTCCCAAGAGGTTGACCAAGAATGTTACACGGGGCTGGCTGGCTCAGCTTATTTGGATCCCCGTCGGCTCTGCGGCTGGAAGTGGCCAGAACCGAAATGCGAGTGAACTGTTCAAAGACAGAGTTAAGTCCCTTGTCGAGCCCTCGTAGGGCGCAAAATCTGGTGAGACCGGTGAATCCAATCCTCCTTGCAAGCCCGGGCGATATATTCCGAGAGAAGGAGGAAGGCTGAACATCGGATGCCGAAGTGAGAAGCCAAATCTAGGCGATGGAGAACTGAGTCGAAGTTGGCCCTGTCCTTATCCTAGAGGGTGTTGCAGTTATCGGAATCAGACGAGATCTTGTTTCTGGCAGCGCCAGGGATATCCGGCCTGACAGGAAGCCAGAGAAATCCTCTGGGGGAACGGTAGTAAGACATAGCCCTTGGTTGCGCGCCAGCGCTTAGCCTTCGCCAAAGCGTTCATCAGCTCTACGCCGGAGCGATCCTGGCGAAGCTCCGGGAAGACAGGCTCAGCCAACTCGAGGCGTGAAGACTGACGCTTGAACGAAGTGTGTCCTTGCTCTGCAGGCGTAGGATTTGACGACGGAAGTCCAAGAACGTGGATCAAGTCACGTTCAAGAAGGCGAAGGCGGACCTCGATTTGAGTCAGGCCAGCAATAGATTCAATGTCGTTATCCTCGGAAAAGAGTAATTGGAGGCCCGCGGAGGGGAGAGCCGAGCCGCGCTCTGAACGGAGAGAGGCACCATGATCGAGGACATGATCCGGAGCCAGGGCCCGTTGGGGGAGCGGTTCAGGCTGGACAACAGAAACCACTTCAGCCTCCGATAACGCCCCTTGCGAGGGAGGAGGGACGGCTAGGAGGGGATCCGGGTCGGGTTCCGGGTGAAGGCCTCCGAGAGAGACTGAAGGGTCGCCATACATGGTGGTGGATCCAGATCGGAGCGGCGAGAAGAAGCCGAGGAAGATGAACTTGGCCTTGCCCTTTTTAGTCTTTACCGGTGCGGGGGAGCCGAAGGCAGGGACGGGTGGAGGTACAGCCGGGCGAGGGACCCCCTAATGGTCGGTTGTATCCTGCAAGGAGCGTCCCAGGTAAGGATCGGTGGCCTCATGACCACAGTCTATCGGCAGACCAGAGCTACGGGTGGGATGTGGCAGAAGCGGTGGAGCCCGTTGCCCGCTTGGAGGGAGTTGAATTGCCCGGCTTCCGAACATGCGCCGCCCGACGAGCAGAAGCCGGTGAGGGGGCAGACGGCGGACCGTCGCCCCACGCCCCATCGGTCAGTAGAGTCGCTCGGGGATGTGGTAGGTAGCGACGCCCGGTACCTGCAGCTTAGAGAAAGGAACAGCCCATTATTCTCTAGCCAGCCGTGATCAAGGGTATTGTTGCGTCATAGCTCACTCAACCCGATCTGTAGATATGTGGAAAGGGCGTCGATGACCCAGGGTAGTGTTGTGGCCAAGCACGCTCAGCCCAGTTGGTAGATGTACAAAGCAGTCATCAGTGATTATGGACATGGTTACGGTACCGCTCGCTCAGCCCGATCAATTCCAGTAATGGTCATCAGAGATCAGGGTATTGTTGCGGCACAGCTCACCCAACCCGATCATGTAGATAAAGGTCCGGGGTAGTGTTGTGTCATAGCTCGCTCAACCCGATCATGTAGATAAAAGTCCGGGGTAGTGTTGCGGCATAGCTCGCTCAACCCCCGCCCACTCATTCCACTGGGTCTCTCTCCGTCAAGGCCGTTAATCTTGGATAACGCAAAACCACACCATAAGGGAGCGGGCAGCCCGCCCAGCCCCGCTCCACGGCTAGACCCATGAAGCGTAGGGCCGTTATTATTCGAACGCATGCACCACATAAAGAACAAAGGGCTGCCCAGCTCTGTTCAATGGCCATACACCCAAACATGTAGACAGTGCACAGAAAAAAGGGGCAGAAAAGAAAAACAAAATACAAGCTACGAAATACAAGAATAAGCACTCTTACCAATAGATAAGAAATCACTCTTTATTTGTTAACAGGAATGAAGTCAATTCACAAACGCGAAAGGCACGGAAATGCCATAAAAGACACATCCGTAACCGACAGGCGCTGACAACAGAAGGATGAACATAGCGGCGGGATCGGAGTGCATTGTGGAAGGTCAAAAGGCAAAATGAATAATCAAGTCTTTTCAGCGAAATGTAATAGGCACACGGGAAATTAGCATATGTAGGTATGTGAACGCAGGAGCCTGTCTGGTTTAAATAGGCATTGTGTACCGCTTACCCAACTTCGGCGCCTAGTTAGGCCTACCAATGCATTTAAACCTGAAAGAGCCGATGTAACGGTTTCATCTATCTGGCGTGCTCGGAATTCCGGAAGAACGCGTCGGATGAATAAGCACGTTGCCGAAACGTGCTCACTTATATGGCGTGCTGATTTTTCCACTTGCGTACACGTGCGCCGTGGTCCCGCACCGAGCGTGGTGGTATAGGCATACAAAGAAATATGCAGACGCGACTGGGAGATCGGGGAATTACTGTTTTGACTTTGCCGCTTTCGCGCGAGCCTTTGAGCGGTGCATTCATTTTACATACATGGCGAACCATAGGTGCTGACGTACGAGAGGTATCAAGGTCAATTGATGGTACATGCACATACGCAACCTCGTTCTCATTGGTACGATATTGCGGCGCCACACGATGCTTCCCAACATGCCCTGAGCGATCTTAATTCGAACGCACAGGCAGCCCATGTAGTCGAGGTTGTTAGGAACTCAGAACACCCACAAAAGTGAAGGAAACGGGACTTAATACTGCGCATACATTCGGGCGCTAGTTCGGGTCGATCGACAGTGTTTGGTTAATGCCCGGAAGTCTGAGCATGCCGGATAAAAGAGACCGTTACACCGGGTCAGCTTGGCCCATCTCACAGCCTGGTACATGTATTTGATTCCGCCTCCGTTGCTTGGCATACAGTTGAACTTGACACAGTTAGGCGGGTCATTTATATCTATTTTATAAAAACGATTTATTTTCGATGTATATTTTGTCAAACTTTTTGCAAATAATCTTAATATTTATACTTGACTCAACATGTATACTTGGAAATTAATATTAATCGGTTATAATATCTGAAACGACAGTCCCAGGGTGGCATGATTTACTGGACATGGTGGCATGCATGTACCGATGATTATAGCCTTTAACGATGTGTGCTTCGCAATGATGTGACACCTGTAGATGCATAGGTTATGGAAAGGCTACGGAATTAGGAGCTTAAACATTTCTTTGAAACGCCTGCAGTCAACGTAAACATGTAGGCCTAAAGGATTGAGCTGAACTGCAATATTTTCTCTACTTCTAAAATACTGCCTATTTTGGACTTCGAGCATGCTCAGAACGCACGCTTGTTCAAACTGGGAAAAAAGAACCAGTATATGTTTGCCGCCACCAAGCTTCTCAAAGTGTCTTATTTCTTCTTAAAAGCACTCAAAGAAGAGAGATGCGCTGAGTTAAAGATTTTTTTTTATTTGTCTGAACATTTTCTGATGATCTGATAGCACCCCAGAGTGTGTTTACCCCTCAGATCAATTGTCTTTGTTAAAAATATAACTCAGGCACCAGTGGTGACATTTTGGCTGCAAACATACTGCTTCCATTATGTTTCAACTTTTATGGACATATTCAAAATGACGCAAACAGTAGAAAAAGGCTACTAAATTTACAGCATCGAAGTGTCTCAAAACTCTCCCATACATCAGTATATTGACAATTAATAGTTTATGAGTGTAGTGATTCAAGATAAGAATATAGTATCTACATGTATCAAGAATACGCATGGAACATTCTTTAAAGCTATTTTCTTGTCATGTTTTAAAAATAAACAGTACTATGGCATTTTCAATTTTTAAAGAATAATACGACTGAAAGACAACATTAATGTGTACAAAAAGCTACATATTATATACAAATTAATGTAAGCATTGTCAATGAGAGTGTGATGTACGACTACACAGACCCCGCACAATAGCATGGCAACATTTGACACATAGGTGCAAATGTAATCCAAACGGAATATTGCCAAGTGCTGAAAAGCTGATTAAAAGCTGATAAATTAGCTATCAAGATGAATTGGCAAATTAGTTTTCTAAAACAGTATCTAGACGCAAAGTACATGTATCTGCTGTGAGAATGTCACAAATGATTCTCCAGTAAAAATGTTCGGGAAAGCCTTTAGCAAAATTAAATCGATATGAATACTTTTACAAGACGTAACAATGTTCATGAAGAACACTGACATTTCTGTGTACATCTATAAACACTGGTATTCTAGGAAATGAGTTAATGATTTGAATGGTAACAAAAAGGTCGTTACTTTCAGAACAATCTCACAAAGAAGAACACATTATTCTTAACCTGGTTCACATTTCACGTTTACTGCAGACATGCCAGAGGCAAATTTCTCTGTAAGTCGAATGCATTAAAGCTTTAAATTGAGATTCCCGACACATGAATTGCATATAAAAAAACACAACCCCCAAACAAAATGCACCTTTCTACTGATAGGGCTATCCGAATTAATGCGAAGTTACACGTACAAGTGTTGCCAAACACCACTGGCGTTCTGAAAATCATTTCTGAATGTAACTTGATCAGTGCATAAATCACAGCTGTACAGAATTTTAACATATGTTCTATCTACAAGTATAAAAAGTTGTAGGGTTTTATCTCTTACAAAATGTAAAAATACCTCTTTAAAACATGGATGTGTACATTTAAATTCACCTGAGAAAATTCCCATTCCTCCTACAGAAATTAACTTGAAAATGGCAAAGCGTGTCCAAAACAGTTAAATAATTGACATTCTGGCAAATGCTTCTGTTACTCTTGTTTTAACATACAAATAGTGATATCCCCCGTTGCGTAAAGTCAGCACTGAACCAAAACAAACAGGCAGGCACTGTTTAAGTTGAAATTACCATGACTTGTTTTAGCAAATTTCATCTGAATAGTGATCACAAAATTAACTTCATGTCACAGTTTACAAACGTAATATGGTTTGACATAAAATAGTCCATGTTGGTTCCAGAGGTATTGGAAGTTGACAAACTCACTTCATTAACAAGTTTGTTGACTTCCAACGTGAAGGGCACCTATAACAACACTATTCAGCCGAAATGAAAAGCATGTTATACTTTTTTTTTACCACACCTTGTACATATCCAGTTGCCATTACAATTTCAGCCAAACGTGAGGATGCTGATTAGCATACCATTACCGTCACTGTCATCTTTTTGCAACTACGGTGATCCTTGCTCAAGGAGTTTGCTTCCGTATTTGAATTTGGCTCTCAATGATGAACATGTACGACAGGTGTGAGGTGGGATAATGCACGTTGTTAGACTGACAAGTGTTGCCCCTTAAAACTTTTTTTCTTAAAACCACTGTACCAGCCACTGCTTATTAAACGGGATGGACTGCTTCTAAAGGCTTTTTCACCTCTTGTAAGGCGAGATAAACTTAGGCTGAGGCTTGGGTGCCGGCTTGGTGTAGACGACCTCTATTGGCTTCTTGTTGCGCTTGTAGGTGCAGAAGAGAATAATGATGAAAATGGTAATCAGAACAAGGAGAGCTGCAATGACACCAATCCACCAGGGCTCTAAGGGGAAGGAATCCAGGCCACCTTCGTCTGGCAACTGAGGGTTGTTATCAGGTGCTGTAAAACCCAAAAAATAAATAAATAAATATTGCATGCACATACACAGCTTTATTGGTGCTAAAGGTGCTACGTTATTGCCACCCCTGCTCTTCAAACCTGATTTTTGTACAAGAACATTCCAACTCCTTAGAAGGCTGACAACGAGATGCTGTCATCATGATTACAATGGCTGACTGACCATCTCAGCTCTTAGGGGTAGTTGTTTACTGTGACAAGAAAATTGTGACAATGTGTCTTGCATATGGACACAAGAACCACAAACCAACCTGTGTTGTGGTTGAGAACAAAGATCAGTCACAAGACCAATCACGAGACCAGACACGCGACAAGCCCACACACAAGACTATTCACAAAAAGTGCCTGCTCTTAAAACTGATTGTCCGGATCCGTAAAAGCTTAATTGCCATGTAGTTTGAAATGTATTAAGGTAAAAGAGGGATCACGAACAGGCCAACAGGGTTCAACTTACGAATTTCACAGTTGGTGCCAGAGTAGCCTGTCTTGCAAATGCACTTGTACTTGTTGATGCCGTTAGAGCATACTCCACCATTTTGACATGGCCTGCTGACGCACTCGTCGATGTCTATCATAACAAGGAGTGACAAAGTGCACATTCTAATTAGAGAGACTGGCTGGAAATTTGAAGCTGATCTTATGAAGGACCTCTGGTCTATGTAGACCGTTGGCTGTTAAAAGTCACTGACCTTTAATATTACCTCTCCATAAACAATAGCTTAGTAAACCAAAAAAAGGTGACGGAAGCAAGAGGATGAGACTGGCTCCCTCTGCACATTCAGGTGGAAGGATTGGGAACCAGTGTTACGTTGTACTGGTTTAACTCCCTATGCTTTAGCAACTGCATTCTCTCTGCTATAAAGTTCCTAAGTAAACAATTATGTGTCAGAACCAGTGTTGTGAACCAACATGCACCTGCGCTCGATTCATTTGCATAACCCTTTTTTTAAAATGACGTCACACTTTGTTACTCTGCAGTAAGGAAAACTTTCATGCTAACTGTTCAGCAGTATAAGGAAACTGTGCCCAGGATAAAGTCTGGCACAGAGAACAATTTCCCCGCAGCACAGCCTACAATCATTTTGGCTAGAATTTTGGATTGCTATGACATGCATGACCAGATTTTTGCACGTGTCAGAGCTTCCATTAATTGTCTTGTCAAACCCAAAGTTGCCACTTTCTAGTTTGCAGAATTTCTGCTGTCTTTCTGAAAAGAGAAAAACAAAATATCCTCTAACATACCGATGCTGCAGTCGAAGCTTGTGTAGCCGGATTGGCAGGCACACGTGAAGCCGTTGATTCCATCGGTGCAGGAACCTCCGTTCTTACAAGGGTTACTGTTACACTCATTGGTATCTAAACAGGATAGACAATGCATCGTTAAACGTTTCAATTCCCATCATCATTCCGTCTAAGTTCCCTAAATGTGGGGCCCTGAACTAAAAGTTGGAGAGAAACAAGGATGGTTTCGTTTCAACGAAACAATGGAAAGATACCAACAAAGATACCATGGCACAGTCTAACATTGGAATCAAAGAAATACATGGCAGCGTGAGCGCTTTACACGAGCTGGAGGAGCAGATAATAAGAGGCCAAAACAGTGTCCTTACTGATGTCGCAGGTAGTTCCTTGAAAGCCAGGCAGGCAGGTACAGACAAACTGACCAGAGGTGTCATTGCATGTGGCACCATTCTTGCAGGGGCTGTTTAAGCAGCCTTCCCCAATTCCTGAAAGGGAAACAGTGAGGGTAAAGGGTGCTGTAAGTCTACAGGTGACAGACGGGTTGACTAAAAGATGTTTGTGAGGGGTTTTTCTTTGTCATGACTGACTTAGAACGGTCCTCTGAATGAATTATTTTGTTGGAGAGGTCGGAAAAGAGGACATGAGTGCTTTTTCCTTGATAGGCAAACATGAGGTTTGACCAGACTGTTCACGAGAATTACTAACTAGTCAGGTTTATAACTTTATTTTGTTTAGCATTGGTCAAGTTCGCTTAACCATTTGTCAAATTCTGTTCCATTTTACCTTGTTAAAAAACAATTATTGTTGGTCAAATACTGGGTAACTTTGCCTGGTATCCAGGAACACTGGTACCCAGGACTAGGCAAGATCAACCAGAGGTCCACTAATGCATACATGGTTTGGCCAATCGAACTTCAACCTCATTTGATGACATCTTTCCAAGAAACTCAAATGCAACATTGTTCACGTGACTTTTCCAAATGGACTCACTGAATTCACAATTCTTTCCCAGGAATCCGCTCTCGCACAAACACTCATAGTCGTTGAGGTGGTCGATACAGGTTCCTTTGTTGACACAGGGGCTGCTACCACACTCGTTGATTTCTGTGGGCAGTTCAGAAGAAACGTGAAAAATTACCCCCAAAAAGGATTCACTTGGACAGACATAATTTTGCATATGAGGATGTTCGAGCAGGTCCACACAGGCAGTGAAGACATTATGTGGACAAAAGTGCATGTATTTTACATCTGCTCTTGTTTAAAAGGAAGGTTTGGAGAAGAGTGTTGCCTAGTGTTAAGTGCCCATTGACCTATGATCAGATGGTCAGGTGTTCGCATACAGTATGCAACTGAACATATCTTGCGTCCTTGGGCAAGCCATTTCACCCCTATTTGCCTCTCTCCACCAAAGAATATAAATGGGTACCGTAATAACTGGGGAGCAATTGGCATTCTATCCAGGGGAACAGTTCGCAGCATGAAGCGCTGACCTCACAGAGCTTTCAAGTCCTTTTTCCATGAGATTTGACACAAACACAGGAGCAGGACTGAGGCTTTTTGCAAACATTTGACCACAAGCTGTTTTGTTGGAAGCCTCCAACATCCACGAGTCACATAACAAGCGAGTGTTCTGTTAGCCAAGAGTTCTAGATGGAACTTGGTTTGGGTGTTTGAATGGCCTGCGCATAAACTCACCGGTTTCACACTGTGCTCCTGTGTATCCAGGAACACACTGACAGACATAGGTACCATCACTGAGTGGAATGCATACGCCATCATGGAAGCACGGCCTGTCCACACAAGCAACTGGAGGAGCAAGACAGCCAAAAGGAATTTTAAAACTAAGGGTAAAGTAGACCATGTCTGACTTGGATCTGAGTAGAACCCAAAGTTTATGACTTATTAAAAATCTATTCACTAGTCCCTCTTTGATGATTAATTATTTTTTGTAGGGGGGGTACGTTGATTTCCCTTATCCTGGCCTGGTTATTATGTCTCTATCTGATAACAAGTATATCTTTGTGCTAGTTTTCGCTGACATTTGTCCATCAATTTGGGGGAGGGGACTGAGAATGCTTGTGATGCATACTCTTGTGCATTTTAACAAAAGTCTTCATTTTTACAAAGTGGTTCCCAACTGAATTGAGTATTACCATATGACTAACAACTAAAGAAAAGATACACTGAGATTTCCCAAGCAGCATTTTGTTTAAAATTCATGTGTTTCAACGGCTCCCTCTGTAAATGATGTTTACACTTTTCCATTTTACCTGTCTTACCTAAATCTTATTACGTAACACAGACTGCATGATGATGGTCTAGAATAAACAGTTTAATAACGTACCAACTGTCTCGCAGCGTACGCCAGCAAATGCGTTGGGACAGCTGCAGTAGAACTGATTGACGCCATTGATACAAACACCATTATTCAGACATGGAGACGACTCACACTCATCAACATCTGCAATTTCAAACAACCATATATGATGAAAAGAAAATCTGAAATCAAAAGAAAACACATCAGGTCCCCATAGCATTGCCGTGATCCCTTTTGAAGGCATATGAGGATAGGTTTGATCTTTTCTACACTAGCCTTTTGGTGAGCTAGTTTTCACATAACAGTGTAAGAATTGTTTGCAACCATTAAGAACAAAACAGTTCCACGGTATACAGGTTGTGTATAAAGCCTTCCTGTATATGGACTAAGACATGGCTAGGTTTGCATAAGGTTACTGGGGTAGGATGATCTCCCGAAATGATGAGAGTGACTCCAGCTAAATCTTATAAAACAGAATAGGGAGAAAAAAGTTCCCGCTTTCCTCTACCAATGATTGAATTCCCACAGCATTCACCCTGTGATGGAAGCTTTAAGTACAAAATTCAATTTTATGAAGATTAACTAGCCGTTTCCCTGAGGACTGTAAACAAGGAGAGAAAACATTGAACAATTCAGTGCTGTTTAGTGTAGAATGCCAAAATTTAAGCCCACAGCTTTGCGAGGCGGTAAAAGGGTGAAACTTGTTCTATTAATACTCACCAGCCTCACACAATCTTCCTGTGTATCCTGGGGTACAGTTACAAGCAATCATCCCTCCATCGTTCTGGCAAACTCCTCCGTTGAAGCAAGTATCCTCAGTACAGATCTCAGTTATCACTGTCAATCAAATCATGAATTACAAAGCGTTAGAGCTTTTAAAAAATTATATTTAACACAAATCATGTCACGTTGGGCTTTCAAAGTCCTCTCAAGGGCAGGGCTATGGGAAATTCAAAAAAATGGCACAAGAAAAACTATATATTAAAATAGAAAACGACGGCATGTGCTGTAGAAATCTGAAAAACAGGGTAGAGAAAAAGAATTCCAGAGCAAGAGAAAAGAAACTTGACGAATATGCTCCGGTTGGCTGTGGAGATGGTGAATGCATGGGTGTAAATTCAACGTTTGGCTAAAAAACACCCTATTTGATAACGTAGCATTAATACCTTGGTGTTTGTCAACCTCATAAACATACATACTACACAACCGGACATGTGAACTTGACATATGAGCTTGGCATTTTCCACCACATTTTAGTATCTTTAAACTTAAAAAATCTGTTTGATTTTGAAAACAAAGTAGATTTTTTTATATCTAATTAACTCACAAGTATTGTGTGTGTGTTAGAATTTATTACCGATTTTGCAATTTATAAACTGTCTTTGCAACTATCTAAAAATTGAGAGTTGGATGGGTTCTGTCTAGGAATGATTCATCTTGTGCCATGCAAAATTATAATCCAAGGAAATAAATTTTTCAGCTAAGTGTTTTTGAAAACACTGGAGTGCTAAATAGCAATACTTACATGTTTGACAGCGATCTCCGCTGAAGTTGACCAGACAGTCACAAGTGATTGTTCCATTTGGCGACTGGTTGCAAGTGCCGCCGTTCAAACAAGGGTTGGGATTGCAGGGAGCTAAACAAGACATTTAAAATAAAGTGCAATTTACGTCACAAACCTCGCGCACTCTGACCAATCACAGGGCCTGTCCTAACAGCCCTCAGCTTTTCTTACACATTGGGGCATATGGAATAAAAAAACACCAACCGAAAAGTTCCGTTTACAAAAATTTGATTGACTGTGCCGCAAAAAGACCATTACTGACATCATCTATATGTTCTAAAACACGTTTGCACTGATGCCATTGACAGCTTGAGATTTATAAAGTTGAAGTTTGATGAAAATTACTGCATTTTTGGCATTGATCACTGAAACATACTCGGTAATTAGCAATCACATAGGGAAAGGTCAGTTTGCCCATTATAAGGCAAATACATGTACTCCTGACTGCTTTTGGGGTGTTCTGTTACAGAAAACTGACCATTTTGATTCTAACCCAAGAGCCCAGCACTATTAGTGTTACACATGCCTTACTTAATAGTACTGACTGCCTGAAATTCTGACAAAATCCTGTAAGACTGACAGGCAGAACTTACTTTCAACTTGACAGCGTGGCCCACCCCAGTTGCTGGGGCATATGCAGACGAACCTCTCAATGTTATCTTGGCAGGTGCCGCCGTTCATGCATGGATTGCTTGCACATGGTTCGTTGGCTGCAGAAAAAAGGGAATCAGTTGAATTGTCAACACAAATCTTGTGTAAGAATCTATGATGCAACAGTTCCGAGTTGTTCTCTCAGAAGTGACAGCGTAAGAGAAGTGGTTGGGTGAGCCTCTGCGCGTTCTCTACTTGCTTTTCTAGGATAGATTCAAGAACCAACAGTTTAGCCCTGTGCCTGGTGCAGTGCTGTGGTGGAGTCCATCACAGCTTCCTGCACGTCTGCTGCAAATCCATCATCAGTCTGAAGTATTACCATATTTGGACAGCCTATTACGTTACAAATCTCGCGCAATCACAAGGCTTGTTCTAGCAACCTGCAATGGATTGTATGGGTGTTTCAATATTACGGGGTGCCTTTTTTAAAAGTTGCAGCATATGGAACGAAAAACACTAGTGAAAAATTTAAACTGCCAAAATTTGATTGGTTGTGCAATAAAACCTGACAACAGTCATAAGCTTGAAGTTCTAAGAAATTTTTGTACTAATAGGGTTTAAAATTCGTTGTTGCCAACTTGAGATATTTAAAAATTGAATTTGGACCAAAATTGTTGTATCAGTAGGGGAAGGTCACTATGCCCATATACATGTATGGCAATACTCTAGACTGATTGTAAGTCATCCAGTCTCAAGTAACGAACTACTCAAATGATCTGTAACCAAACCATTCCATTGTCATCGCTCACTCTGTTCCATGTGACTGATTTGATGCAAGCATTTGTGATACTGTGAAAGGACTTTTGAAAGGACTTGCAGTTTACATTATTACAACAAGATCTGCTTCAACTATTTTATCAACACTCTCAAGCTTACTATTCTATATTTATCTCAATAAAGAGTTTCAAAATAGAGGAACGACCATCCAGTAATATTTCAATGCAAGAAAAAGATTTGTTTGAAAATCTACGCTGCCTTTAAGGTCTGTATTCATCCTATGTAAAATGTGGACGAGGTACAATGATATGGGGCTGTTTAACAGGTGCACCGTACTGAACCTTGCCAAAGTGAGTGTGCGATCCCATTTTGGGAAAAAGGCCTATAACTGATGGCTTTTAATTGAAAGTTCCTCCTATTGTTAGGGACTGGCTGGACAATATCAGCTACCTGCTTATCATGACCAACTTACTTTCAACATCATTGTCCTTAACCTCGATTAGGAATCCCGGTGCCGACTTGCTGCTGTCGGAGGAGAAAGTGATCCACAGCTCGTTGCTCTTAGTGACAAAGTTGCTGGGCTGTTCGATGCCGGAGTGACGGATGACGCGCGAGTCTACGCTGCCTGCCACCAGCCCGTTGCCGGCCTCCAGCCAATCATACAGAGGCTCTGTGGAGAAGTTGGCGAAGATGACCCGGATGCGGCGGCCGAGCGAGGTCTGGACGGTCCAGCGACAGCTCAGATCATTGCCGTAGTTATCCGGGAAGTTGGGAGATGAAATCATGATTGTACCGTCGTTGGGAAGGGTGTAGTTGACCACACACCCGATGGCTGGAAAGAAAATAAAAATTACAATTTATGGATATTAAGTTTTTCAAATGCCATGGACTAAATGGCTTTTCCAAAATAGCAAACTTGTAAAGTAATGTTATCCTGTCCTTTCTTCTTGGCGGTGTTGATTTAAATCCTACTTCGTATGGACCTGTGGTTTTTTAATCCCTTGGAAAGTATGTTGGGGTTGGAGACCAATGCTTAAAGAGTTAGGGTTTTGAATCCACCTGCTGGCCATACGCTGTAGCCTTGGATAAGCAACTTCATCCCTACTTGTCTCTCTCCACCCGTGAGTTAAATGAGGACAAGCACGAGCTGGGGAGTCCATCCAGAGGGAAATAATAATCTTTTCAGTTGTTTCATGCTAAGAAAACTGGAAGTAAATGCCAGTCTGCAAGTCAAAATGGCTCAGGAAAACGTACTTTTCTGTATGGTGATTTTGAACAGATAAACGTCTCACATGTGCACCTCTGAGAAATAATTAACCCATGGGTATATGTAAAAACATACTGAAATCGGAGGATTGAGGATTGTTGGGGTTAAGCTCGTTACCAGATAGAATCAACAAAATCTGCTCCAACTGCTACGGTGAATTGAGAACTCACATATTTCACAGTTGGTGCCCATAAAGTCGTTTGTGCAGCTGCACAGGTAACCACTGATGGGAAGCTGTTGGCAAGTTCCGCCATTCAAGCACGGCATCAAGTCACACTCATCAATGTCTGAAAGGGGAAAAGAAGCCAAATTTGCCTCATAACTTGAACACCGTTTATTTCTCAATATGGTTTAACAAAGGATAAAATGATACAACTTGAAATTCAGGATCAGATGTCTTGGGATATTAAAATTCAGGCAAGCCAACTACTTATGGGAGCTGTTAATGCTTTTCTGGATAGTGGCACAATCAAGCACTTATTGAATTCACAGATAAACACAAACAACAGATCAGATAGAGCCATATTGGCATACGGAAATTTTCATTTCAGCATTCAGAGAAAAGCAATTAATGGACAGACGTACATGTATATGAAAACGATTGATTACACTTCTCATCTATAATGTGATGTCTATTTAATTCCATTAAAATCAACAAGCAACAAATGAGAATTTTTTTATAAAATACTTACCCATTTCACAAGTTGGGCCTGAGAAGCCCTGCCGGCAGGTGCAAGTGAAGGAATCTGCATCACTGGTACACAGACCACCGTTCTTGCAAGGTGCGCTCAAGCAGTGGTTTATTCCTGACAAAACAACCGGTAGTAAGATTGTGGCCACTAATTTCTGATACTACAAACACTGATGCAACACAGGTACCTGGCCATACTTAAACTACCTACTCAAGCGATTCAAGGGCCGATATCAAGCCGCTTTAAAATGATGCAGCCAAGGATTGTGAGCTGTGTATGAGCCTTTATCTGGGCCAAGAGGGGGCAACCTTTTCTTAGCAAGGTATGCTAAGGTTTGTTTGGAGCTGAATTTCATTGCTTAATAAACAACTATGAAATGTGTGCATCATGGTCACATGGCTACCAACGAAATGAACACTGCAGACCAATATGGTTCTTTTCAATGAACGAGGAGGTGCTTTTGCTCGAGGAGGATTGCCTGTATTAAACTGGCTCTCCATTGAGTTTGGCTCTGTATGCAATTGTTTCAATCATAATTTTTGGGCAATCAGGTTTATAAATCATGCCCAGTCTCTTTTAAAGCAAAATGTGGTTGAACTTTAGCATCCACAAAATAAAACTGCCTGAAAAGCATACCTTTGTTATACTCTACAAAGGACTAACTACAAATGAACTGTTGAGGGTAACAGGACATTGCTGTGTTGTAAAACTGAAATTCAAACTTTCAGACAAATCCATGAACACAATTAGTCTGCACCAATGGATGCCTCCATTATGGCAAAAGCATTAGAGCAGCGTTTATAACAGAATAATTCCATGGTCAGAATAAGAATCCTTAAACACCAGCGGCGCCACGCTTGTGGGCAGATGGAATGTATGCAGTAATGTCTTTGGACCCAAAGAGTGCCTTGATCCCCCAAAAGGACATGCGCACAAGTCAAGTGCCCCTGTAATGATGAGGATGAGGCCTCAGTTTTACCCATCCTGCTGTTGTATGAAACACAGACAGGGGGATATACATAACAGATAGCACATCTGGAGGTCGTTAATACTTACGATTGCCGCAGTCAACTCCTTCCCAACCCGGCTGACAGTCGCAGGTGTAGTGAGAACACATGTTACGACACATGCCGTTATTCTTACACGGAATACTGGCGCACACATCCACAACTAAGAGAAAACAAACCTACTCCTAGTGAATGAGCTCCAGCAGATGTTGTTGAATTACGCTTAACATCGGGGGCTAATTTCATAGAACTGCGGCTTAAGCACAAATTTTGCTTAAGCGTGAAAAAACCTTGCTTGACAAATCAGGTTACCAGCCAAAACTCCATGTGATTTTGAATGGTATTCACCTGTCTTTTGGTTAGCATGACAATCACATAGATTGTGAGCTGGTAACCTTTGTTTTTTAAGCAAGGTTTTTTTTTGGCTTAAGCAAATTTTGTGCTTAAGCAGCTCTATGAAATTTGCCCCAGGTCAATGATTCATCTAAATTACATCATGTGTGAAATAAATCCCTACAGCAAGTTCTATCAGATTTTTAAAAAATTTCTTGCTGACTCTTCAATGCAAATATCAGTGATAGGATCCTTGGTCAATCCTTTTGGGAAAACAGCAGGGCTCATAGCATGTATGCATCTGGAACGAGCTGTCCAAAATCTGCCCACTACACAAAAAATAGACCAATCCAGTCAGCACCACCTACTGTGCACATGGGCACATTAGCACATGCTCTTCTCCAGTGCCACACTACGTATTCCAGCCATGCGCATCACATGCACGCACACACATGTGGGACTTGTCAGGAATAAATAATGGTCATGATTGGTCAGAAAACAATGGGGCGGGGCTTATGAATGGATCCACGAGTGACCTGCTCCAACAGAACAAGTCTGACAATGCCTCTCACTCAAGTTACACTCTTTCCATTCAGAAACGTACAAATGTAGAAAAACAAGGAAACAATAAAATTTTGGATATGGACAGTCTTACCGATATCGCAGAATGGCCCAGCATGGCACTGGTCACATTCACAACGGAAGCCACCCGCAAGGCGCACGCAAGTACCATTATTATTACAAAGATTCGGACTGCAGACATCTGAAAGGATTCACATACAAGACACCAGAGTCAATAGCCAACTGAAATCATTAACATTAAGACCATCTTCTGGTCTGAGGATGCACTGTTTCAATCATTTGCAATATTTAGATATATGATGCTCTATGTGAAGCGATGGACCCCAACTGCCTCTTTACTTGGCTGTGAGGACCAAGAGACCTGGAACCTTAGATTGAAAAAGATGTCACTTAACACAGAAGACTGATCAGGAAACAAATAAATATGGAGTGACACTGGCTAACTGCTGTTGTACAACATATGTCTGGTCTTTCATGGTTTTTCTGAGTGTGGAATATGCATTTACTGTTTATCAAACGGGTTACTAAGTGTACAAAATCAGGAATGCAGTTTTTTATGTGCCAGATGCTAAAGAGTTTTGAAATGAGAGCAACATTTTGCATAAAGAGACCTTCTGTCAAGAGTAAAGTTTGTCCACTAACCTTGTTCACAGTTTACTCCGGAGTATCCATCGAGGCAGTCACACCGGTAGGCCAGGCAAAGGTTCTGACACACACCGTTGTTTTGACAAGGATTGGAGACACACTTGTCAACAGCTGCATAAAGCAATATAATAAAACAATTTTAAGTGAGGCCGCGGAGATTAACAATTATTGCCATCAGCGATATTACCCATGTTTTCCTAACACTTTTGAATTTGCATCTAAATTCTCCAGGCATTTTCATGTTTGGTCAGAAAATTTTTGAATTTTTGTTTTTAAGGACCTGAAATAGAACATTCTTTATTTGTATATGTAAATATTTAAGGGGCATTTGAAACACCAGCAGCTTGGTTTTTGCTTCCTGGATCCTACAAAAGCCTACAGAACATTCTGTTGGATCTGATAGGTCTAGGAGGGGTTGGGATTTATTTTGCTGATGTTACACCATTTTTCGATTCTGTCCTACACTTTTTAACTCTCACAACCCAGCTTGGGACAACCGTACTAGAAGCAAGTCTCAAAAATTTCATAGTTTGACAACGATTAGTTAGAAATCTTAGGCTTCTTTCTTTAGAAGAACCGTTCTCGCAGGCTTACGTATGGAGCAGTCTGGTCCAGTCCAACAGTCATTACAGTCACAGCGGTAGCTGAATGAGGCTGGACAGTTTTGAATGCAGACACCACGATTGTTGCAAGGGTTCTGTGTCAACTCGCAAACATCTTGAACTGATGGGAAACAAAAGGGCTTTCAAAATTGTTGTCTTGATAATTACTCGGCGATAAAGTACTCTCGATAAAAGAACCAACTCACAATGTACACTTTGGCAAAAGGTAGGTCAAAGATTCAGAGCTTCATGTTCAAAAAAGCTTTGACATTCCAGAAGTTTATTTCAGGTACTTGGAGGCAGTGGCTACATGCATAAAGAGAGCAAGTTTTCATCGAAGGAAAACATTTTTTAATAGATTTCCTTTTCTATGAATACAGTTTGACAAGCTATCCCAATCTACCGTGTGGTACTGATTAATGAGTGGTAAAATATAATTACCCAACTTGCACGCGATTGGTCCCAATATACCGACAATTGGCACATAATGGATAGTTCTGTTTTTGAATTCAATCAGATCTAGGGGCAACATGATTTTTGTTGAAAAGTAAAAGTTGAGGGGACGGGTTGGAATGGTAGTGGGGAAAGGAGTTAGACCTTTTTCAGACTTTCCCTATTTCGACCTTGTCAATGTCATGCTCTTGGGGTCTCAATCTTACTCATAATGTGTGAACATAAACATCGATTGGATATCCTGGTACAGACTAAAAAGACAGGAGGGGAAAGGGGCCTAGGGTTCAGTTCCTGATGCGGAAAAGTGAAGGTACACAAAATTTATGAAATGGCAGCACTATACCTGTCTGGCAGATCAGTCCTGTGTAGCACACTGGGCACTGACAGAGGAAATTGCCACAGTCGTCAGGTGAAGTGAGGCAGGTGCCACGATCACAAGGGTCGGCGAGGTCGCAAAAGGCAGTGGCTGTAAGTGTGGTGAAGAAGTTGGCCAAAATATTATTGAAAACTACACTACTCAAAAAAAGTTAAGGACCACTTTTTATTTTGTGTATACTTTTTTATATGAGATATCTTACTGCTGAAAATGGGCATTAGATGTTTTGAAATATTTAAAAAAAATATATATTCCAATGAGAATACCATCTAGACAAACAAAAAATGAAAGAACTTGACCCCACTCATTGCTTGGAAAAAAGCTACAAGTTGGGAATAAAGTGGTCCTTTACCTTTTTGAGTAGTGTATGAAGATAATTCCTGATAAAAAGGAGCCTTTTTTGAGATTTGCGATAAGTAGAAAACAGGTCTTTGGGTAATCAGTCTTACTCTGATATATATACATGTACCTAGTGAGTGATTAGCTGGTGTGGAGAATTTCAAATTTCAAGAGATGAGATACTTAAATCTTCAACACTGACTTGAAACTGGATTTCATACGGCACAAACTTTTGGCTTAGAATGCATTGCCTGTACTTTCATATGTGCACAAGGTCCTCACATGTATGAAGTCCTGGTGTACATATAAATGAGGTCTTCGTATGTATACAAGAGGTCCTCATATGTATAAATGGGTCCTCCGACGCATTAATGAGGTCTTCAAGTCTTCAGTCTACTTACAATCTCTACACAACGGACCATTCCAACAGCCAACACAAGAGCAGACAAACTCCTGGCAGCTGCCTCCCGCTGCTGGGCTGCAGGTGCCGCCGTTTGCACATGGGTTGCCTGCGCAGGGGTCAATCTCTGTAATCAAACACCAAACATGATATAAACAGAAGGTGAAATCCCTCCCAATTGTCCACGCCTTACCACTCCGGTGTTTATTTTCCATTTCCGTGGTATGAAACAACTTATGAATACTTTTGTTATCCCAGTTATCGCGATGCAAGTCAATTCAAGAATAACCCAAGCTGAGCGCTGATATGGAATGATACCCCCTAGCTGGAAAGAGGCTGACAAGAGTTAAGTTGCTTGCTCAAGGACACATCTGGCAAATGATAAGATTCAAACATTGAACCTATGACCATGAAGAATGAACCCTCACCACCAAGTCATCCCACCTCTGGTACTAAACACAATAATACGTCATTTAGGTAACCATCCCAGGAAATACAAGGGTAAAACTAAAGGACACTGAGTCAATTAGAGGTACATTATATGCATGAGAGTGTATTAGTTTTCCATTTTGCGGTATCACTCAGTTTGACATCCTGATGACTATGGACATTTGAAAATGGAAAACTTTGACAGTTCCCATTTATTTCCACTTGAGAATGGCTTGGTCGATTTCCAACTTCTGGGCTGGGTCACAAATGGTCACTAGGTTACAAAGGGAGCCTAAAGATTTTGGAGGCACGTGTCCAGCACATTAAAAAATTGTAAGGAGAAGAGTGGGTTGAATTACATACCGATCTCACAGTTATCGCCAGTCCTGCAGTTGGGGCACTCACAGACGTAGGTACTGCAGTCGCCATTGACGTGAACACACGAGCCACCATTGTTGCAAGGGCTATTGTCACACACACTGGTGGCTGAACATGATAAATTACGAGAGGTGTATTATTGTGTGGGATTAATTAAAGGAAAATGCAGTTTACGCCCACAGTGTCTAACTAACACAGGTTTGTTGGAAAATGTAAGGAATGCTGCAATGTTTTAACTTCACGAAGAAAGTTCACATCAAAATTGATGGCCAATGCTACAATCTGCACCCTATTTCACGGTGGGGCTAAAAACCTGATTCTTCACAGCCAGTTGAGTTTTTATTTTACAGTTGTTTGCAGGTTAAGACCACCTGGCATTTTGGTGCTATTTCTGTCACTGGGCCCACATTAAATTGTCCGATTGGCTAACATGTTCTTTACAGTGGTTCACGACATCAGAGTTGTGCTATGAGCCCATTTCAATAGATGTCTGCAATGCAGTATGGGTAAAAAAGCTATTCTATTCATCATAAACTGTTAACATTTCAAATTGTAGTCAGATGGCTGTTCAACCAAGATAGGTTTAACGGAAAAAAACATAAGTTTCAATGATTATTTTAAGTTTTGATTGTATTGGTGGTCCGAACTTCCATAAAATGACTGTGTAGCAACCCGTGGAAGCAATGGGTTTTGATTTCAATAAATGAGAGAGGAATATGTAGCCTTGAAAGTATGTATATCTGGTGGCAATCTTTGGGAGATCTAATATTAGAAATAATGAAAGAAGTATGTTTATGTTTCAACTGTCCAGATTAAGGTAAGTTTTCTAAGAAAGAAAATCCCCATAAGATTTTCACTCATATATATAAGGATTTTTATCCAGCGCTGACTGAATTATTGCCTTGAAAACTACCACTATTACTCCTGCTATGACTTTACAGACTTATTCACAGACCAGAACTAGAATTAGAATTCTGCAGCAACTAGAATTAATTCTGCAATAACAACATGCTCACGGACTGGACGTGTAAGTGTCTCCTAAATAGAATATGGACATGCCACGATCCTCATGCTAGTCATTTCTAGCACACATACTTGAGTGTGATGTTAACACAGCAAGAGGACATCTCCCCTGACTTATAGATTCTTAGACTAGATAATTAGATTGAATTAGATTGGATACTTACATGTCTCACACGATGGTCCCTCCCGACAGCCACTGCACTGGCAGGTATACCGGAAACAGCTTCCCTCCATCGGGACGCAAACACCACCATTACCACAATTGCTTGTCTCACAAGGATCAAAACCTGCACGCAAATTGCCAGAGAATAAACGGTAGGAAAGAACCCCTTTTAAGCACCTAGTCGATTAAATTTGTCTGGTTGTTGTTTATTATTTACTTCAACACCTGCCCCATCATCCCTTGAACCATCAGTGGCTGTGGTGACTGGTTAACAAACAGGACAAGCAAAAGCTAACTTATAAAGTATCCACCACATAAGGCCAAAGAGACAACTCCTCATGTTGGGTTTGCATGAGACTCATAATTTTTAAAATTCTGTGACAAAAGAAATATTTGCTTGCATGAAACACTGGTGTTTGTCGTCAATAGGATTGAAAGATACTATGTGACAGCTTTAATGACTTTTACATGTATGCCATATATACCTATAGTTTAAAAATGTTACAGATAGCACTGTCCAAAGTCTTCAAAAATAGTTTGGACCAGGTCTACTTTGTTTTGGGTGTATATATGTGTAGAGACAAAGATTGGATTGGTCTCGAGCTGCTGTAGAAAAGTAATCATATGGCTCAAAACAAAGACTGTTGGGAACTAGACGGGGTATAGCTTACGTGTGCTGCATGTTGGGTCTTGTTGGTAACATAGTGGACATTGGCATGTATATCTGCTGCAATCGTTGGGATCAACTATGCAAATTCCTCCATTCTGACAAGGGTTACTGCTGCAACCATTGACTTCTGTACACAAGAGAAAGAGAAGATGACAGACGTATGTGCCTGAGTGAGGCTGGCCAGGATTTGAGGACATTGAGCTGGCTAACGTCTTCAATCTTCAAATGTTTGCCACTTTGCAGGAAAGCAATGGTGTTTAATTCTCTAGACCTACGATTCACAATGCAGTATGAGGCCTGGACTTTACTTTCTCCAAAGGGGGGGAGTTGGTTTAATAAATGAGAGAAAAACAGAGAAACGGACAATTAAAAATTTGTTGTTGGTCACTTGTGGCAGCATAATTTTCGGCTGAAGATTTCTTCTTTCAGGAAAAGGCATAAGATAGCTTCTGATTTCTGATATACATGTACCACCAAATGCCCCCCCCCCAAATTGATTTGCATGACTCAATGGACACTATCAGTACAATATTTCTCACTGCAACTTCGTATTATTTTTTCTAACACACTTGGGCATGTATTAAGCACCAAAGTTCAACACACGTTCTACCTGCACAGAGGCTTTTCAGACTTTGTGTGTGTACACTATATGTTGAAGTAATACGTGCATGTTATACAGTGGCGTATATGTAGCCATGAGAGGCCGGGGGGGGGACGTGCCCCACAGCAAATTCTCGGTGACCCCCCCCCCACAAAATAAATGGATGAATGAATATTGAACAAGGCTAGCAAAAGTTTGCCCCAGAAAAACCACACCACTGAAAGCTGGTGCCCCCCATTAAAATGTTCGTGCCCCCCCGCCCACTAATGAAATCCCAGCAACGCCACTGATGTTATACAGCCAGATATAAGCTGAGAAGCACTTGATGTTTCAACCAGTCAGCCGTGACTGTGACTATTACATAGAAAGCCAGATTGTGTTTACACACATCTTACAGCACATAGTGGTTGTAACGCATACATTGTCATTGAATCCAACAGGGATGTCAAGACATAAAAATTAGCAGAAACAGAAACAAAGAAAGATCCCCGGATTCATATCAACAGCAAACTCGGTATTCCACCTACTCATCTACAGATATCAGCAGCAGACCCCCCTCAACCAACAATGCACAAAGGCAATGATACTATCATTCAGAGGCCAACACGACATTTGTTAGCCGACTCTGAACAATAATGCTTCAGAAAATAAATTTTATAGAAAAAGCCAATTATATTTCCCAACACAGGTTTTTGAATATTTTGGAAAGTGTTTGTAACATTTTATCCTGATCCAGTATTTTGAGGGAATTGAAATTAAAAGTACGAAGCAAATGCTAATATATCACTAATTTACCACTCGTCTTCAATCTAAAACCACACCCAGTTATTATCTTTTCACCCTCTGACCCTGGAAAGATTTAGCTCCATGTGAAAAAGGTTACCTTAATTATCTGCTATTCCAGCCTTCTGATTCTGGAATATTTAATTAATATTTTCTTAATCACCTGAGACAAATAAAAACATGGCTTCACCTGTGTCACAGTTGATGCCACTGAAGCATGAGGGACACTGGCAGACGTACTGGTTGCAAGTGCTGTCCTGAATGCAAGAACCACCGTTGTTGCATGGGTTTGGGTCACACAGATCTTGGACTGAACACCAAAAGGAAAGACATATACTCTACATGAACGATACTGCGGACTAGCAAAGCTAGGGAACACTGCAGAATAAGGAATCTGGAATAAGCATTCCTTGCAGGGATACATGGACTGTCAATTTTCATTTTGAATTCAGAGAAAGGCAAGGTTGGTTTTGCTAATTATCAACAGAAATACAGGCCATAGTTTTAAATCTGTACGAGATGCAGATTCCTCATTTGCTAGCACAACAAAGTCAGCAAGCTTTTGTTCCAGTTCTAAAACAGAAATAAAGTACAAGTTGCATGACACCCAAATGTTATCAATGACTTGAAATCATCTGATCAATCCACTCTCCAACAAACAGATCAATAGTCTGTGCTTTCAAATAACCCCAATTTTAGGACATGGTTCAGTTCACAGTCAACAGCACCTGTCACAAAAGAACCCAATCAGTACTTAGGACTCAACAGCTGTTGCTATGGAAACACCGATCAGCAGCAAGGACTAAATGTTTTTTGGTATGATTCTCAAGAGGTGTCAATGTCCTAGTCCCCCCAAAAACTGTAGTGAATGACATTCCCTGCCCAAAACTTAAAAAAAAGGGCCCCACAAAATAACTCACCTGCAAAAACATAACCTCAAGAATTCAGAGGATTTTGGGCAGGACTTACCTTGCGTGCAGGTCGAACCTCTGTAACATCCAAAACACATGCAGGAGAACGTCAGGCAATTGCTGGCTACGGACTGACAGATTCCACCATTCTGGCACGGGCTAGCAGCGCAGGGTTCAAACACTACAATTGACAGGTACATCACAAATAGCATCGAGAAAGGAACATAAGAATCGGCAGATAAGAGATGGGAATGAAGGACGATCAACTCCACGTGAAATCACACGGCAAGGCACAGAGTTTTAACACTAGATTCAACACACATGTATCAAGTTTTGATGTGGCCAAAAAAATTAACAAGAGTGAAAATGAAAGATTGTCAACATCTAAAACCTCCATCTCCAACAGATGACCTGTTTGTATCTTTCCTCACAAACTTCATGACACTTAGCATCATAAAATAACATTTATGAAATAAAAAAATTAACATGTACGCAGGCCAAAAAAACAGTCACAGGGAAAGAAAATTTGTTCAAACACTTGAAATGAACACAAATAACTTTTCAACTGGCTGAGGTATGGAGCTGTGCACAAGCAAGGAACGGCGATTTATTAAGACCCACACATGACATCACTTGGCGTCAATACATGGCTGATTCTATAAATTAGGGGTCCAACTTGGGGACATTTTGGTGTCCTGTTACACCTGAAGCCATTCAACTTTTCTTCATGTAAAATTGTAGCCACATTATCAAACATTGTCCAGATTGAACAGCATATTGTACAGGTCATAAACAATGTAATCCTGTTTGATCTACAGAATGTGAACAGTACTAATTTTAGTTCTATCCAGAAGAGCTGAATGGTTTCACCCGTAGCAGAACACCAAAATGTTCCCAAGTTGGACCTCCAATTTATAGAATCACCCACACACTGGTGCCTTCACAGTTTCCTTGACACATGGCAACGATTGCATGTGAGTGAATGTGTGCAACCCTTGAGCTGTTTTAATGTGCTGTTTGTGTTACCATGAGTATATTTCTAAGTGCACAAATATTAAGAGTGTGACCTACAGGCAAGCAAGAAGAAACATACTGCCAATCAGACAGAGAGTACAGAATTTCCATTGCAACAGCAGTTCACCACATGTTGCAAATGTAATAGTTAAATCGTGAATTCTTCGTCAAATGGCACAATGGCCACCCCCATGCTACGTACGATTGTCATTATTATGCCCATTGAGAGAACTGGGTGCCGGCTCGGCCTGTCCCTATTTCACCAATGAGGGCTTACTGACCCATTGCATGTGTGAATGATTTGCATACCTCGGTCACAGGTGCTTCCCACCCAGCAGCCAGTGCACCTGCAAGTGAACGCCGTGCAATCTGGCTGGGAACCAATCAGGGCTGGTGAGCACTGGCCGCCATTCTGGCATGGGTTACCAGCACACGGGTCTTTCGCTGTAAACGAAAAAAAAATGAATTTAATCTTGAAATCTTGATCAACTCCTGCCTGCAGCAGACCTGCTACCTCTTCCAAGTTATTTTCAGCTAACTAGGAAAAGTACATGCTTTAAAAGACTTGCCACAATCTGAATATAGAGTAGTGTAGAAATGTTATAAAAATCTATCAAACTACATATACAGATATCTTTCAGGAGAAGATTATGCAAAAGAAAAAACATAACAGTCCGATTTTGAATTCTGTTTGAAATGACCATGACCCGTTGGATCAAATAATTACTAAAGTTTCAGTTATCGGCAAAAAGTGAAGACCAGTTTCATATTTTAAGTCCCTTCAAGAAGATCACCACATTTTGTTTTCCTCGGCCCTTCAACTTGACAACAGAACGTTTCTAAAATGGTGTATACAAAGTTTCAACACAATGGCATCATTATTTGCCGTCTTACAAAATGGAATGAAGCTTTATGATAGACGCAGCCTATTTGGCCATACAGCAGGCTTCATAAAAAAAGGGAAACTTTGTGGCTTACGGATGGAGCAGTCAGGTCCCTGGTAGCAGTCTGAACACTGACAGGTAAAGTCTAGGCAGCTGGGCCCGTTGGCTGAGCAGACACCACCATTCTGACAAGGGTTGGGACTGCAGGGAGTCACAGCTACAAAACAAAGAGACAGACAAAATCACTTCATGATTTAGGATGCATAAATCTCACGAGAACAAATTGACATAAGCAAACACAATAGCTTTTCTGGCAGTTACCTGTAGAAAACATGCTCTGGTCACTTCTTTGACCAAGTTTGCAGTTTTAATACAAATCTTGCCCAAATGCAAGCCCTCCTAAAATTTCTGTACGGAAATTACTACAGTATCAAAGGCAGAACTTATATATTCACTCTTCCTATTTGAAAGTGTACCCAGGTGGTTTATACGAGTAATATCAGAAATTAGGGGTCCATTTTTTTGTGTCCCTGTCACATTTTGTAAGTTCAGAACACATTTCCTAATTTCCAAGAGTGATGAATTAATACGAATTACCTGCCAAACAAATACCAATAATTTAAAATCAAATCTGGTGATATTTCCATGTCCAATAACAAAGGTCAGACGCAACAGGGACACCAAAATGTCACACTTTTGGACCCCTCATTTGTGGAACTACTCTCACCTCCAGCTTAAACCCAACATGTTTAAAGTAAGCATGGGCATGTGTGCAGTTTTAAGGCACATTCAATACATGCACTGATGCTGAAATCAATGAATTGGAGGCACAGGATTTCAAAACGGTCGCATTATCCTCGGGACTTACGTAGCAAGCAGTCAGAGCCAGTGAAGCACTCCGTGCACTGGCAGATACGCGAGTTACATGAAGTGCTGCTGATGTAGCACGTGCCCCCGTTTTGGCAGGGCTGTAAACTACAGGGGTTGATGGCTGTCGAAGAAAAGAAACACAAAGTGCATCATTGCTTGTCAGACATCTGTATAAATAGAAAGGATTAAATTTCAAGCAGTAATCACAGCTGGGATCAAGCTAACATCCGAGACAATTCATTTAGAATATTGATTTAATAGATATTTCCATACGCGGGAAAGTTTTGCATGCCTAGATCACATTCTATGCTTTAGCTGATGTTTTTCTATTTACCAAGAGGGGCTGAAAACTCAATTATTGCAAGCCCAAACGTTGCTAAGTCTATTGATTAAAGGTTGCCTGGTTATAACAGTTCTCGCAGTAATTTTTTTACAGTAACTCTTCAATTGGACTTTGGTTTTTTAATAAATCTGAACAGACGGGATTGACTCTGGCTTATATCTACAAAGAAAAACACACAAGCCAAAACATCCATCTTAAATGTCTCTAAAACTATGCAAAAACTACTCACTTTGTGCTTTCTTTGGGCCCAATGCCTGTAGCAATGTAAATATTTTACGTGCAGATATCATCTCTCAGATTATTGAAGTCAATTGAGTAAATTTCACAAGAAAACTTACATATCTGGCACATGTTGCCTGTGAAGCACGTTGGGCACAGACAGAGGAATTGGGTACAGTCTCCTGACACCTGGGCACACGTGCCACCATTCAGACATGGATTACCAGCACAAGGATTCACATCTGCAAGAAGACATACATTTGCTGAAAAACAGTACAACATCCAACACATAAATTATCTCCCATGAAAAGAAAGCTTTTCTCCTCTTTTTGGCTCTCTTTTCGTAATTTTTGTGAAATGTCAGGACTTCTTCACTATCAAAATGTTTGGAAAAACTGACAAGGGGATAAAACTTACATGAAAGGCAGTTGGGTCCGGTGAAACAAGTTGAGCAAGTGCAGCTGTAGGTGTTGCACTGTCCCGGAATGGCGCTGGAGATCTGCGTGCATTGTCCACCATTATGGCAGGGGTTAGATGCACAAGGGTTCATGGCTGTGAGTGAAACAGTTGAAACAAGGTTGAATGTTAAGAAGCAAAGGTTTGGGGGGAAAAATGCCAAAAATGAGAAGTCCTTATTGTTCAGCACACTGCAATACCACTGCCATCAAAATGTCGTCTTTACGTAAGTCAAAAGACGGTTACACTGTTCATTTCCAAACTTAAAGAAGTTTCCATTCTAGCAAGATAAGAATTCAAGGTGGGATTGACATGCTACTTGTAATTAAGTAAAAAAAAGGAGTGATGTACATGTACATGTAAAAGTGACACTTTTGACGACAATAACAAGTAAGCAGCTTTATAGCCAAAACAGTAAAATAAATAACAAGCAGCCAAACAGATAATTGACTCAATGAAAAGAAAAAAAACGACAGCTGACTTACGCGTGTTACAGTTGGGGCCCGTCCAACAAGACGTACAGGCACAACTGTGCACAGGACAAAAGTTGCCACCAACATTGGCAGCTTCACAGATACCGCCGTTCTGGCATGGGTTGCTGTCGCACGGATTGACAACTGGGAGAAAGCAGGATATATTTTAAATGTCAGAACATGAAAATCCTACATCTGAGCTGTGGCGCAACTGGGATGGCAATTGGGAAGTGGTGCCGGCAAGCCTGGGGTTCGTACATTTATCAAGGGGGTACTGAAAGCATGAATAGCGGCAGGTGTATCAAGATTTCAAATGGTGAGGTGTGAAGGGCGTCTGGACATTTGCCAGAGTTCCTCTCCCAAGAGCCACACTGATGTATTTCAGTCAACTGCAGAAATATTTCAGGATCTACATTTCTTTGAGGGCTAATTTTGAATAAGTTCGGAAATATTGACTTCCTTATGCCGGTTTGAACATACACCCCAAACTGACAAACTGTTGCTATACATTCACCTTATGACTCAGGGCAAGCTCTTTCACAGTTAAACACTGTTCAGAGCCGCCAACAATGTCACAAAGGCACTTGACTTTTACAGAGTTCAATTTAACTGGTGTAAGCCTGCCCCCAAATAAGACTATTGACAGCACCATGTGAACTTAAGAACTAAACTAAGCAAACACAGTTTCTTGTAGCTTCTTAAACTGTTCCATCCTCTGTAGCTTTTTAATACTGGATTGGAGAGAGCATGGAATGCATACAACCTTGGAGGGTCTCCACATTTAGGGACCAAATTGGACATGTGAACATGGCAAATAGTGCATTTAAGTTTCTATCTATAAAAATGATATTTAGAAGGGCTTTGACAAAATCACTTGGCCACAGCTAGAGGATAAAGACACGTCCATGGCTAGCAACTGCTTCCAATTTCCATAAATATATGTGTTCTGGCTAGCCACAGCCACAGCAATGTTGGACGTAGCCTTACTCTGGTTGCAGCGCGTTCCGGTGAAGCATGAGTTGCAGATACAAAAGAAGGTGTAGCAAGTGCCAGGTTGGCTGGTTCTGGTGTGACAGGTTCCGCTGTTGCCGCACGGGTTGCTAAGGCAGGGATCGGTTGCTGAAAGACAACGGGGAACCAGCACATACAATATGAGCCAGTCTGATATTTCAGAGCCTCGCATGTGCACATTGATGTTCTCAAATGAACTACAGTGCATTTCCTGTTGAGCAATTTCTATCAAAACACTGAACTGGTTCACCTTTGCTCACATTGAAGTGTTGAAGTTGCAGCAAGTAACGCCCCTTGAAAGGTTACTAGATTAAACTTTTCAGTTTTGATAACAGATATTTCCTTCTCTAGATGGAAGCTGAACAACAGCTCAACTCCATTCTCTGCATCCTCTTTTAATTGGGATTAAAGTAATTCATTCCTTTTGGTTTGCAGAGAGTAAATGAAGTAAAGTGTACACAGCTGCCATGGAGGTTTTTCTCTCTTTTTGAGACAAGCAGGCCGTGTGTCCCCATTTCAGGAAATTCAGTTCTGGTCCTTCTGGGTTAAAAGTAACTGTAGTGGAGACCAGACACGAGACCATTCACAAAATCAGTCACAAGTATTAAGCAGGGTGAACAATAACCAAGGAGTGCTTCTGAATTTAGATTGGTGGTCTTGTGTTGGTTTTAAGATGGTCTTAAGGGGGCTCAACTAAAACGCACTGGCTTTTTATGGTCAGACTAGGGTTAAAGCAGAATCAACATGAGGTGATGTATGAACTTACGGATGGTGCACAGCTCTCCCTCCCAGCAACCACTGCACTGACACGTCAAGCTGTCACAGGTGCCAGGTACCGGCTGACACAAACCACCATTGAAGCATGGATTGGAGATGCAAGGATTCACCACTGAAACAACAATGATAATCGACTTTGATATGTGACACTGGATTAATTAATGCAAAAGCACAAAATCTCAAGGCACTTTTTATTATTAAAACAGCATTATAAACAGGGGTGTGAGTGGCCACTTAAAATTAAAGCTGAAAACAGATAGCAAAAAGTTGAAATATAAAAATTTCCCATTCTTTTGTACAGACCAGGTGTGCAAAAAAGCTGAAATTCAGGGTCAACATCTTAACAATAAAAAGCTGAAGTCAGCTAAAAAGTTGAATTCTCATATCCCTGTATAAAGATTCCATAAATTACCATGCAATTAACAAGTTAATATACCAAACTATATCACAAATTCATAAGGAGAAAAACTACATCATACACAAAATAGAGTGATAAAACATACTAAGGTTACATTTCACGCAATAAATTAAAGAACAATCACTTTAATATAAGCCTGTCGTTAAAAGGGCTGCCTTAAAAGTGGAAAGTGACACTGAACTGTTTTGTTGCAGCTTTGGTGTTATCCACTGAAGTAATGATGCATAGCCATACAGTAAAATTCCATTTTGACCACGGCATTAGTTTTTGTCACTGGGGTACATCTACTGCTTATGAAAAAAAAAAAAAAATTCCCCTTTTTGGTCATGGATGTGATTTTGGCCACCCACATACTATGGGAATAGCCATAGCCATACATAACAATGCTCAATTTGGACATGGCTTTGGTTTCCGTAAATGAATTACTGCGATGACCAGATGCAGCAAAATAATAAATGGCTAAGTGACTCACACTGAGTACAGAATGTTCCTCTCCAGCAACCCACGCAGTCACAGGTATATGAGGAGCAGGAGGTAGCGGTACACTGCCCGCCGTTCTGACAGGGATTGTTGGCACATGGATCCAGCACTGCGGAGAAAAGACAACAGCAGCATCAACAGTAGCTGTTGAAATATTGCATTCCCCTTTTTAATAGTCACTAGGCATTACCCTTTCTTGTTTTTTTAAATGATTTTCCAATAGGCCTTGTCAACTTGCAGATACAGGATGGATGGCACATGATGAAGTTAGAATGACAATCTTTAAAACAAAAATCAGAAAACTGTTTTGAAATGCATATCACTGCAAGCCTCAATGTGAAACCCAGTGCAAGCTCCAAACAGTGACTGAGTATACTTGGTTTATTTCACTTGAACACCTGTCCTCAACAGTTCCACAGTGCACAATGTATACCAACATATGACAACAATATTTATGCCCATTAATTGGGGAAGCCAAGTAACAGGCAAAACTTTAGGGCAAGTACATGTATTTACAAATAACTGCTCCTTATGGCCACTCTAATCCGTACAACCAGTGCAATGCTTTGCATCATCACTTGAGTACTGTACTTAAACAGTGAGAATTCCTCCTGTGTCCAGCTTGTATGCATGTAACCAGAATCTGGTTAGAAGTGTCGTCCTGATCATTAATCCTGAATGGCCCAATGCTTGCATCCTTAAAGGTTTAAATATGTGTGATTGAGAAGCATGTATCAGTCTTGTATTATGCAGTAATGCTGACTCCCGTGATTTGTTCAGATCTAAATGTTGAGGTTTGCCTGAACACCAACTCTAGTCTTCGGAGCCATTCGTTGGCATTGTTTCCTTGTGATACTTACAAGTTTCGCAGTTGTCTCCAGTATAGCAGCCTGGGCACACACACAGGTATGAGCCACAGGTGACAGAGGCCTGGAAGCAAGCGCCACCGTTCAGGCACGGATTGACCTGACAAGGGTCACTTCCTGGAAGATATAAAAAACGAGGGGAAAACAAAACAATGTGAGTGGCCAAGATGGATTGCTGAATTCGTGAGCCAAACTCGGCATTGACAGTGATGCTGATCTGTTCATATCTGTTTTCAACTAGCAGGGCTGAAATGGATTTTAACAACTGATGCCGAGCCAGGTCACTGGGTAATATGTTCAGATGATTTTCAATGATAACTCTAATGTTACCGCCTCGCTGATGAAGCAGTCACCAGTATATTGGGAGCTGGTTACACCCTCCCTTCCATTCTCATGAACCAACCAATACACACGTGTTGACGCATCTTTTCTTGACTCTAGTGGGAAGGTGCCGCACTTGCTGCACAAAGCCCTTGACTGACACCAGACCCGGCCCCGAGACTATTAACTTACGGAATTGACACAGGTCTCCAGAGTAACAAGCGTCACAGACGCAGGTGAAGTTACTGCAGGTGCTATCTGTGGTACAGGCCCCGTTGTTCTGGCAAGGTAGACTCAGACAAGGGCTTGAATCTGTGTTGAATGGCAACAATTTCTTGTCAGTATTTCATGAATAAAATGTCATTGGTTCTTTGGTGAATGGGATGTCAAATTTCTAATCGTGGCTTAACTGTACTAAAAAGTATTAATAAATGTAATTTCATTTGATTGAACGCCATTAATCCCCTTATCTTTGATTCAAAAGCATAATATAATTAAGTAGTCAGATATTAACGTATTTCCAGGCAGAGGCCGTGTCCGAAACGGGCTTCCAGAGCTGCGGCTAGGTCTATTGTCTACGCGTTTCCACACATTTCCAATGGAGTGAAGACCTAGACCTAGCTCTAGACAAGAGATTCGGATGCAGCGTGAGTTTCAGAAACCTTTCAGTTTGAGCTGTTGCCAACTGTTCACGTTGGGTCTGAGCTAATTTTGTCTTGTGTTTCTCTCAAGGGGCTGTCTATAACATGGGCTATCTTTACATCAACCTTGTCTCTTGTTGTCTTGCTACTGAATAATAAGCTAGCGAGAGATTTGGGACTCTACAAAAACCAGTAGTATCATTACTACATTTACAATTGATTTTGGACTTACAAGTTTGACATGTTTCTCCTGTCCAACATCCAGTACACTGACAGGTGTATCGTTCACAGTTTATCAAACTCCTGTAGCACAGGCCACCATTGGCACATGGGCTCTCCAGACATGGATCGACAACTACATGTACCAGATGGGGAGAAAAAAACATGACTGTCAACGTACTCCAATCCTATTGGTCGAGGGCCTGTCACATGGGCAGCTTTGAAAGGTGAACGGATCATCGTCACATGTGCACATTCTGCCACATTCATATTCCAGTGCATACTACAAACCATGTTTTAGAATAAGGGCTGATTTAAAATTGTCAAGGTTAAATGACTTACTCTGTGCGCAGGTCGGTCCAGTAAAACAACGCGGGCAGGTGCATACATAGTGATTACATGCATGTGGGGCCTCAGTACACGTGCCACCATTCTGGCATGGATCAATGGTGCAACCCCCTTGATCTAGGGCCAAAAAATACAGCATTAGCATTGATTAAATGCTGTCAATTAAAAATCAACCTCCACATGTATTATCACAAGATTGAAACTGTAATTTGGATTTAAAAATTCGGTCTAAATCAGTCATTAACAAAAGGATGGAGAAATGATAAAAAACTGAAGATTGATTTTGTTGAACTTTCTGGTGTTACGTAATAAAGGAAGTTAGCTGAATGGCATAGTTTCCATGCTGTCAAGCATTGATGAGTGAATCCAACAATATTTTTGACAGATGTTGCCTATTAGAAATTTTAGCAAAAGTTAACTAGAAGGCTGCAAAAATTTGCACAAAAAATTTTCAGATAGACATGTTGTTAAATAAACCAACAATGGAATGTGACCGGGCGCTTATAGAATAATTGTAAAAGTGAATAAAGAAATTTGAACTGCAGAGGCCTTGAACCTTTCAACTTCTAGGGTCTGTGCTTGTATGTTACGTGCCATATTGCCCATATGTTAATTTCATAAAGTCATGTTAAGCACACAAGCAAAAGCCGTTCTCCATGAAAGGTATTGGTTTTCAAAATCTGAACTCACAAACTTCACAGTTGAATCCCAAATAGCATGGTGGACAAAAACAGTTGTAGCCGACACAAAGATTGTTGCAAGTTCCCCCATTCAGGCAAGGACTGCTAGCGCAGATATCCACAGCTGCAGAGGGTGAAACAAAAGAGTGAGATGTACATGTAGGGTCTACGAGAAATGAAAGTGACATGTAGGCAGCTCTGTGCATGACCAAGTAGGGTACCTCTTTTTATCATCCTTGATTGTCCCTTTGGGGGGACACACAGAGGGCAAGTTCTAGCCACGACTGTGGCTAAACTATACTTTGACCAACAGCACCAGATTAAAGGGTGGTTGAGCCGTCTTGTTGACCATTAGAACCAGGCTTTAGAACACAGTCACATCACTGGTTAGCCTCTTTTAAAAATCACATTTACGGGGAACCACTGACATGAACATAACTGTACAAGTTGTCAAAGATGACAAACACAATGAGAGATGCAGCTGATAGCAAAATGTGAGTGGTTCTGGATTTCATCAATGAATTTATCTAGTCTTATTTTACTTTTAGCATTACTTTCATACAGGGGAAATGGATCTAGAGCTACTTACGTATTTCGCAGAACTCTCCAGTCCAACAAACTGGACAAGTGCAGGTGTAGTCAGGGCATCCATTGTTGCAAACACCCCCGTTCTGACATTGGTGATTTACGCACTTATCAACAGCTGGTGGTCCCCAATCAAAGCAAAAAATATACCATCAGTTACCAGGAGGCTTATCTGATATTTTACCATGAACTTTACTATTAATTATCGATTGAAAATATGATCAACTCTGGAAAGTATTAACAATGTACATCAAGTAATTTTTTAATTGCAAAACCATATGCCATTTTCTTTGTATCTTGTACCAAGGCAACTTTTGTGCCTGCAAAAAAAAGAACAAAGGACAAGATTAAAATCACTTACGGATTTCGCAGAAGGCCCCCCCGAAACACGAGTCACAGACGCAAGTGGTTGAGGTACAGGATGGTAACTGGATGCAAGTACCTCCATTGATGCATGGGTTAAATGAACCACTGCACAAGTCAACATCTAGAGACAGTTAAAAACAAGTCAAAAGATAAAATAAATATGGATCAAGGATACCTTTGAAAACTTTCATAAATCTGTTTAATAGGATGTGGTTAATTGCATTTTATGCAGCTTGAGGTCAAATTGTATCCTTGGTGAAATAATTGTAGTTGCTCTGTTATGCATCTTAGAATTAGGACAAAAACTGTCCGTAGAATACTGGTCACTAATTCATGTGATTTCCTAAGAAAACTGCATCATAGGTCTGTTTGGGGAAATTCTCATAAAGTTCTGTCCGAAAAACTAAACCTAAGTTGAGGTGACACCAAACAAAATTCTAAAACCCACAGCTAATGTAGTGTAATGATTGACTAACTGTACACCTAGAACTCAAACATAAATTAGACTGAAATGAGGAAAGGTCCTACCTCCTTCACACAAGCGGCCTTGAGAGCAGGAATCACATATACAGTTGAATTCACTGCAAGAGGTGGAGACGCATGTGCTGCCCCTACTACAAGGATTACTAGCACACGGATCAATGTCTGTCAGAAATAATCAACAAAGTTAGTAGATCTTTTCCAACCAATCTTCCGCAATTTGTGATAGTATGAGGTGACATTTGGGGCAAGAGGTTGGTGAGCTTTTGTCATGCTCTTGCAATACATTATTTTCTATTTACTTTAATACAGTTGCAGCGTAGGATCTAGACTGGCCTCTAATGATAAAAAATATTAGGGGTTATAGTTCTGGAGCAGATTTCTTTTGCTGAAACGAATCAAGTAGTCTTTCTCTAACCTTGCAATATTTGATAAATTCTTGCAAAGGCTTATGGATGAGTTGAAAAGGCTTCAAGAATCTTCTTAAGTGCATATAATAAATTTCTGCAAATGTTTCCACAGTAGCAAAATCTGAAATGATTTTAATCTACAGAGTACACATCCAAACTGCAGAGTACAAAACGCTCAGACGTAAACTAAGAACCAACTTCAAGTGCCAAATTATATCAGACCCAATTCATTTTTGTTTTCTGTGATTCTCAACAAAGTTCTTTCTTTACATACTGCAAACTTTCAACGACAGAAAACTGCCTTTGACAAGGAAAGAAATTGGGGCATATTAAATAAAAATCTTAAATGTTTTTTAAAAACTATAATTGAATAGAATATTTTTCAAATTTATAAAAGGTACATTTCAACAAATCAATGTTAAATACATGCACATATTGCTTTGGGTTGGAAATCATTTGTTTCAAATCAGGAATAGTAATAACTTACTAAGGACATGTGAAAAGTCCAAGTACGCATGCACAAACAAATAAAGCGCTGACAAAGAGGGCAAGGGAATAGTGACAGAGTACATGTATGGAGGACACGCATATTTGAATAGGAACCTTTAACAGAAACAACATAGGCCCCTAATGCTCAACAGAAAGGAATACCAAGGTAAATCTCTTATTAAAACGGAAAATGACATCATTAATTATTTGCAATTTTTGCATGGTTTGACATCATGAAATGGATCTTAATTGACCGGGTTTCCTGCACATGACACTGAGTCCAACGGTTCTCTTTAGAGCTTTGCTTACTCAAAAAAAAAAAAGAATTTCACATACTGCAAACCTTCGTCACAAACTCATCTGAATACACTTTACCTGAAACACTTTGGTCACTGAACATGTTGGAATAATCAAACAGAAATCATTTCAAAGTCCAGTACCTGGCTGGTATACTTACATTCCTCGCAGGTAGGCCCTGTCCAGCAACCTGAGCAGAAACACTGGTAGGTATTACACGTGGCACCAGCAGGCTGGCAGAAGGCATTGTTCTTGCAAGGGTTGGCCGCACAAGGATCAAGGACTAGAGTGATTGAGGTTCAAGAGATATGTTCAATAGGTAATAGGAATTAAATTATTAACCTGCAAACTGTGCTAAATACCACTGAGTATGCAACAGCTGGATAAATGTCTCATTGGGGGTTGTTGATCACATGAATTGAATTCTTTGTTCTATCAACAGGTGATTGGTTGATAATCATTGGTTAACCCAATGTTTCCACAACACCTGATTAAAATTCCCATCATCTGAATCGCGGGTCATCAATTACTGGTGAGACAGTTAATTATTCCCTGTTAAACCCTGGGCTGTGCATGCCTGCAGGGGCCAATTTCATAGAGCTGCTTCAGCACAAAATTTGCTTAAGCGTGAAAAAACCTTGCTTGACAAATCAGGTTACCAGCCAAAACTCCATGTGATGTATATTGTTTTGGAATGGTATTTACCCGTCTTTTGGTTAGCATGACAATCACATATTCTGAGCTGGTAACCCTTGTTTATTAAGCAAGTTTTTTTGTGCTTAAGCAAATTCTGTGCTTAAGCAGCTCTATGAAATTGGCCCCTGGCAGGCACAACTGCTGCTCTTTATACAGAGGTAAAGAAAGCTTTTCAAATAGACAAAAATTTCAGTTCTTGCTCAAAAAGTGAAAAACTTTGTGTCAATATTAAAATCTGTGCACAAAAGCCGTACCATACAGCAAACAAATGTTTGACATTCATGAAACAGAAAGACTGATTTCATTCTGTGTAAAGCTTGAATGTTCCACTCCACTCCATTTTGTACTGTGGTATAGAACGAAACCTTTCCCCTAGAAAATATTCTGACCGTTACATTCATAAAAAATTGTCATCACAAACATTATTTGTATATTGTGCACAAACATTATTTGTATAACACTGTGCATAAACGTTATTTGTATAACGCTGCATATGCCAAAAGGGCCCCAAGGTTTACCTTTTAAAGGGGAAATTTGAACTGACAACGACATGCCAACTTACACACGCTGCAGTCTGCTCCACCAAAGCACCCGACACACTCGCAAATGTAATTGACACAGTCGCCCTGGAATGCGTAGCAGTTGCCGTTGTTTTGGCATGGGTTCTGATCACAGGGGTTTATAGCTGTAGGCATAGGAATTACAATAATGATTCAATGGCTGAATTCAATCTGAAACACTCAATTTGGGAGAAACGGTCGTACACCTTTTGGGAGATGTGTTATAAAATGCATTTATATGTATAAAATTTGCAGTATGTTTGCCAAATTTCCGATCGCTGTTGTTCTCATATGTGGGTTGAAGCTTTCTTTAATGTAATTTTCATCATGGAATAGCAATACTTGACTCATTTGGAAACTAATACATTTGAGACATGCAGGAAAGCAAAATCTCTCGCAACACTTTGTTTCCGTTTTGAACCTGTTCATTTGTTAAAGTTCCAGTGTAGTATTTGTTCCAATGCAAGTCCTATTTTACAAGTCCAGTCAGAAGTCTTTCCATGATGACAAAGGGATGCTTTTGTCACAATTCATCATATAAGTGAGTCAGCTTGAGACTGGATGACCTGTGATAGATTTGCAGGGATTTCAAATGGACTCAACTACCCTACACGGCTACAGAGGTCATGACTTTAATGGGATGGACAGCAAGTATTTCAGGAGACAGTCGAATGAGGGATGTGGATTTTGCATATTTACGTTGATCACAGAATGTTCCTGTGAAGCAAGATGGGCAGCTGCAGGTAAATGTATCACATTGCTGTAAGCCTCTGAAGCAAGTGCCTCCGTTCTCGCAAGGATTGTTGCGGCAAGGATCAATTTCTGAAAATCAAAAAAAAAAAAAGGTTCAACGACTCACAACTTTATGATAGCAAACTTTTGAAATAGATGGATCACAGAATGCCGAGCTTTTGTTGGAGTGAGTCGCATTTCCTTACCGGTGGTGCAGAACGGACCGGTGAAACAGCCTTCACAGGAGCAGGTGAAGTCAGCACAGGAGATTTCGGTGCACTGGCCCCCATTGGCACAAGGATTGGGTGCACAAGGGCTCCGACCTGGAAAACAGCCAATCAGAAATCGGTTCAATTCTTTGAAGTTCACATTTCTGGGGAAGAAATTCATCTAGAGCTAAATATTGATTTATTTTGCTTTTTATGGACAAGAAAGGCAAAAAACATGTTGTGTGGCTTTCTTAAGGTAGGAAGGAGAACATGAAATCTATGTTGTTGATAGTTTCATTTTGACAGTGTCTTTGTGAGTTGTTGAGTTTTCATTTAAGAATCCGCTCTGATCTTTGGGGGAGCAAATACAAATCTTTCCTAACCTGACTATGCCAAATGTCCAGTGGCTCCTTACAAAGCAAACAAAGGAGTTTTGTAACCTAGAAATGATCTCCTTTGTGACATACAAAGCTCCTTACATGTGCCTGTTCACGTGCATCAAGTATGACCTACTGTTTGTAAATTCATAGTTTACTGATGTGGACACAGGGTGCACCCTGCCAACAGCATTCGACTGTCAGCCAAGCATGTCTGTTTGGCCGTGGTGAAGTGGCACTTTGCAGGGAGGGGATACTTACGGGTTTCGCAGCGGGGTCCAGTGTAGCAGCCCGAGCAGACACAGCTGGGCTGAGAGCAGAGACCTTGGTCAAGGCTACAGACTCCACCATTCTGGCATGGACTGGGAACGCAAGGATTGTCATCTGAAAGTAACCCAAAAGGATTGATTTTGCATCAGTGACATTCTATTTGAGAGGAATTTAACAATTTCAAACTAAGCTAAAAAAACCCACTTCTGATTAAAACACAGTGGATATCTCTGTCTCCGTTTTAACCTATGTCACACACAGCACTAACACAGGTCCAAGAAAACACAGAATCAGGGGATGATTTTGCAGCTACTTAATTTGCCACTTCAAATTCCAATAATCGGATGAAATATACAAATAAAAAAAGTCAATGGACTTGATGGTTTTGAAACATCAGGCTTTAAACCTTTGCAGTATTACTGACATAGAGAAGATATTGATGAATATCAAGTAGATTTCTGGAGATGTTTTCATGGACCCTATGCATAATTTCGCTTTGCTTCAGCTAGTGCTTCTGCCTGTATTGCCGAAGATTTGCGTCAAAATGGTGAAAAAAGAAACAAGCTATTTGCATCACAACATCCTGCATTACGCCCCACGTGCAAATTGCAGTTTGGGCCTCAACCATGCAGAGTTGGAGCCATAAACTGGTATTGCACATATTGCCAGTGACACTGCAAGTTCCAGCGTCGGGATGAAATGTTGCCCTCTGCAGTGCTCGTGCGTAGCTAATAGCACTCACAGGTCTGGCAGTTGGATCCGGAGAAGCAGTCCAGGCAGGTGCAGTTGTAAGTGGAGCAGTCAGCTGACTTCTGACAGGTACCCCCATTCAGACACGGCAGGTTCAGACATGGATCCACGGCTACATTAAAGTACAAAACATGGAAATATAATCAAGATGTCTGAATACCGACAGCTGTTATTTCTTGATTCAGAAATCTATGCTCAGCATGCAAAATCATGAGTTACAGCACCTATTTGGGGGCAACAAGTTGCACTACACGTACAGCACGTGCAACTAATTCTCCTTGGAATATCCAGTTTTTTGCGTGGGTTGCAAGATGTCCAACTGAAACTGTGGTTTGCAAGCCACTCTCTCCTTTGTTGATGAGGGGGTGCCCAGGCAAAGAGCAGATAGACAATCACAGCAGTGACAATCTGGTATGATTTTTACTGACCTGCAAGACAGGTTTCCCCGCTCCAACATGAGGTGCATTCACAGACATAGTAAGAGCAGTGATTGACACAACGACCTCCGTTATGGCATGGGTTACTAACGCACAGGTCCACAGCTGTCAATGAAAAAAACAGGAAGAAAGAGTATTATTCCAGTCAAACTGTGTCAATGATTTCAAGTGAGATTTCATTGAAATTTCCGACTGTAATTGGGACCCACTCTGCAAAAAAGGGAATCAAGGGACGCTGTGCTATTTCATACTAAGGGCTTTTCTGTGTGGAGACGGTGAATTTATTTCTTGATTCATTGGCTTTTATCATATCAGTACTTTCATAATTTATACAAGAAACCTAACTGTTGCTATGGATATTGAAGAGACTTTCTTCTTGGCTGATTTCTTTTTCCACTTCCTTTGTTTAAACGGCTTTATCTCTGAAAGCAATTCTGTATAATGTCTATGATATGATTATGCAAAAATAAGTAAATCTCCAGATTGCAAAATGCCACAGGTTCAAACCTAAACGAAATTAAAGCTTATAATGTAACCAATTAAAATGTGTATGTAACTCATTTAAAAAAAAAATGTCCCATAACACCCATTTTGGTGGAGCCAGTCACAATTAAGTTTGGGAAGTGCCAATGTAAAATTCTTCAAGTTTTAGTGACCAAATGGAATTCAGCACATCAAAAGCATGCTTCTTAAATATGTAAGGTTTTCAGATAAATTCTGGGTGATAAAGGAAGGTGTTGGTCGTGATGGGGACAACAGGAAGGCTATTCTACTTACGGTCTTGACAAAACTGTCCAGACCAGCATGGAGGGCATGTGCAAGTCACGTCGGGACAGTTACTTTGGCAAATGCCGTTGTTCTGACAAGGGTTGTTCTGCTGACAGAGGTCCACAACTGTTTGTAAAAAATCAATAACCTGTTAATTCAGATCGGATCGAATTGAATCAAATCGAACAAAATCAAATTGAACCAAATGTCCAGGTACTCAACCAGCCTCTGTAAAGCTAAATGCAAAAACTGTAAATGTCTGACTCAAATGCTTTTACCAAAAAAGGTGAGAATCCAAAGTCTTCAATTTCATTTGCATCAAGTACTAGTATTTAACATCCACCATCAACTTTAAATACATAGATAGAACAAACTCTCAATATCTGGCACTTAAGACTCAAAAAACACTTGAATATAAATGTAGCACTGCAAATGTTAAACATATACACGCTTTCTAAAACTCTTTATCACCACTATTCGCAAATTCAACAAACAGCTGATAACGGTCTTCTCCTGAACCACAGATTATGAACTCAGCGTAATGTCAGATCTCTACTGATAGCCTGTGTTTGGAAGTTTTGGCTGCAGCTGGAAGCCAGGTGGCTAACAACTGCAGCCACTTCCCATTGACACGTATGCTTCTCCTAGCGGCAGCTGTGTTGATTCAGGCATGGCTACTCACGTTCTCCGCACGCTTGGCCAAAGTGGCAGGCGTCGCAGATACAACTGATGCTTGTGCAGGCATTCCGTTGGAAACACGTGGCGCCATTCAGACAATAGTTTTGGGTCTGACACAGATCCACAGCTGCAAATCAACGCAAAGAGGTAACAATATACAAGCCGCATCACATTTACTCTACAAAAATATTGGATGGCAAAATGTCCTGCAAGTAACATATAGCCCTTCTCGGTCGTTCACAGACGATTTCCTCATGACAGTAATTTCTGCTCTCTTTACAGATCCACCAAACTGCGCTCCAAACAGAGGCAAGACTGATTAGGTTTTCAATTGATGCTTTTTATCCATAGCAAAAACCAAAAATCAACACAAGTGGCCAACAAGCAAATAAAAACACAAAACGCGTCTGGGAAAAAAGGAAGCAAATATCAGGAGCCATCTCTGCATGTTTGAAGTTTGTCAGACAGTTCATGGTGTTCAATTCAAGCACCTGGTGTTTTGATCCTAGCAGAACCTCTAATCAAACACGTCAGTCTTTAAAACAAATTTTGATAGGAGTTGATATTGATTTGATTTATTTAACTTTCCACAATACAAAGACATACAAATACAAATATAGGTGAAACACAGAAATAAAAAACGAACCATAGGGAAAAGCAGAGATCATGCAAAAAAGTTCGGTAATACTTATTACCATTGAGATCCCTATAAAAACTGACAATCTAAACCTCAGGCCCTTCACATGTTTACAACATAAGTCTAGACATTCCGTTCTGCAAAGTTACAGTGGTCTATAAATTCCACAAAACCATGCCTTACCTATTTCACAGTGGGTGCCCGTGCGGCACGTAGGACATGAGCAGGTGTACTCGGTACAGCTGTCTGCGATGCAGGCACCGCTGAACTGGCAAGGGTTGCTACTGCAAGGGTCAACCTCTGACAAACAAAACAGACATTGGGAAACCTTTTATAGAAAAACCCTCGTCAGGTATTAAAGAGTAGTATAAACTCTCTGAGTATTTTTTGCCAGAAACCGTCATCAAGAGTCATTTGCTGTGTAAAAATGCCACTTGCCCATTCCCAGTACTAAAACTTTCTTGACAACAGAAGTGCTCAAACGTCAGGTACACAAGTGGGCTAACCCCTAAAGTATAGTTTTCTGGGTTTTATGTCTTCCTCAATCCTTCAAAATCCTCCTGAATGGTTACTGGTGTTAAAGCCGCTATTACGAGGTGGACTGTACCAACTATAGGCAATTACCAACAAGTCAAAGTTACCTGTGTTGTTCCTACTGATCTATTTATTGATGAAAATGATTGGCTGTTCTTGGAAAAAGCTGAGTTTTTTAGAGAAATCAGTTCCATGCTGGAAGAAACCATCAGAGACTTAATGCTTTGGAGGAAGAAAGGAGTTCAACTCCCAATCCACTTGCTGTACTTGTCTGGATTCAACCATCAAAAAACATAGGGGAAGTGTTGGCATCAAAGACCCTGCTGACTCCTCTATTTTTACTGAATCGGTCTTGCTCCAAACTCACGGATTTCGCAGTTGTTGCCACTGTGACAGCCACTGCAGGTGCAGACATAATCTGTACAGGAGCCGGCTACGCGGAGACAGAAACCTCCATTCTGGCAAGGATTCTGGTCACAGACGTGTACATCTGGGGAAAGGAAAAATAGAAAGATGTCTATTTTCCGACCTCGTGGTGAGTCTGTGTCAGTGAATGTTGAATGAACACTGGCACAACCTTGGGTTGATTGCAAAACTTCCCCAACAGCAAAATTATACAGCAGAAGCTGATTCAACTGGCCACACTGACAAGACAGTAGAGCTGAAATTGAATAAACTAGTCAAACTTCAAATCTTTAGCCCTGTACATTAGTGATTTAAATAGCCCAACTACAAATCAGTAGAGTGTTGAGGTTGCACGATCAATGTGGCCCAACTACAAATCAGTTGAGTGTTGAGGTTGCATAATCAATTTGGCTCAACTACAAATCAGTAGAGTGTTGAGATTGCACGATCAATGTGGCCCAACTACAAATCAGTTGAGTGTTGAGGTTGCACGATCAATGTGGCTCAACTACAAATCAGTAGAGTGTTGAGGTTGCACGATCAATGTGGCCCAACTACAAATCAGTTGAGTGTTGAGGTTGCATGATCAATTTGGTCCCACTCCAAATCTGTAGAGTAGTGGAGCAGAGAAATTCTGCACAATAAAAACTTTTAATGTTGACAAATCAAAGTTCTAGATCTTGTTAACAGTACTTCGGTCTACATGTACTTGTTCTTTGAACGGACTGTTGAGACACTGTACTCACATGTTTGACACATAGTTCCAGTGTAGCATCCATCACAGAGGCACTGGTAATCCAGGCATGAGTTAATGGATGGCACACAAGTACCGCCATTACGACATGGGAAACTTGAGCATGGATTGACGACTGGAGGGAAACAAGCGCAAAGCCAATGGGAAATCTTTAAAAAA